GTCGGGGGTAGGGAGGCCACGGTAGAAGCCAATGAAGCCGACTTCGTCGTCGACCTGTGTCGATTCAGTGTCTGAGTTAGTGGATGCTGTGTTGGTAGGGTTAGGGAGAATTCGATAGCTCAATTCATACCTTTAAGTCAGGTCGGGAAGACATGGTGTCGGTTGATGTGAAAAGAAACGCAGCAAAGGATAGTGCAAATACTGGTATGAAGGTGGTTTGGACGAGTCCAATTCGACGCGCTGCTTGAACTCGCGTGGTCCGTGCACGCGTCGCGCGTTAAGTGGGTGGGATCTGCCAGGGGATTATTTAGAGACCTCAGGTTTCTTGAGGAATCAATTACAGTGGTTAATCTTTGGTTATACATAGAGAATTAAGCTGTGCGTTTCCTGCTTTTTACCACATTTTTATCGTTCTAGCTATAATATTAATAAGGGAGAAAACATATCGAAAAGTGCCAAAATATTAGACATGACGAGGTCATCTAAGTGTTTGAGTTTTCTTGTGGTAATGGTATTATGATTGGGTGTCCGAGGACCTAATTGCTAAGTACTACCTAAGGTAGTTTTAATGCTAAAAGACACATGGTAAATAAAGTACAGGGTATCGAGCGCTGATGCAAGACCGCGAGCAGACCAGCTCTCCGGATGCGAGGTATCCAACAATGAAAAACAAATGAACAAACCAAAAAAAAAAACGTAAATCACAAGAAAGTAGTCTGCACACAAGAAGCAGACTTCTCCCAGTCAACCTCAAGCTGGGCGGCTCTCGCCCCGATATCTTTGGCAGAGACATCTTTGCAAGACTTCAACACAACAGACTTCATCTGTCCAACAGTAACCATACTGATCCAGTCACCAGCCACCTTTGTATTCGACAGAATCTCAAGACACATCTCCACCTCCTCACGGGGAATCTCGCTGCGGACCGAGTCCCGGACATGCTCGACCATCACATCGAGCTTGAAGGGCTTGCGTTGGGCTGCAAGCATGGCTTTGATGCCATTACCCACATACCCAGCGGGGCGCAACAGGGCCAGGATCCCAGCTACCTCCTCCACTCGATCGGCGGCTGCACGTCGCACGAGTTCTTTCTTGGCAGGTGGAGGAGGGAGCTTGGACTGACGTAGCTCCTTATTCTTAATGCGATCCAGCAGGCCCTGGCGGCGGCTGACTGTTGCCGTCCGCTCCAGGGGAGTCGTCTCTGCTGACTCTGAGCGCATTCTCTCGGCCTTCAAGCGGAGTAGACCGCCCTTCAGATCCTGGAGTCGTTGTTGGCCTTTCTGGAAAACCGTGAAAGGGGTGAGTGACTCGTGGATTGTGGAGAGACCGAGAGACTCGATGAACAGAGTTGCTTGGTCTTCCTCACTGGCATTCCGAAGGGCCTCTGGGGCCTTTTCCCACAGCAAGTCCAAGGTTTCTTCGAAAGAGTCTTGCAAAGCTGGACCCTGAACGTTGACTTGCACGGTGCGCTCCATGCAAATTTTGCCGAGTCCATAATTTGCCAAGCGATATGAGATGTGTCTCGCTTTCGAACTCTGTTCCCAGACCCACACAAGACGCTGCAAGTCCTTCATCTGCACCTTGCGCTTATTCCAGAGACGGGTCACGCTGCCAAGGAATTCTCGGAGGTCCGCGGGGGTATTTGCGCCATTGTGTGCCATGTGAATGGAGAAAGCCTGTACAAAGGAGGAGTGAAGGTTCAGAATATCATTGAAGAACGCAGGCCGCTCGATAGCTGGGGCTTCCTCGTGGACTGGAATAACCTTCTCAAAGTTCAAGGTTCGTTGCTTCGAAGGGGTCGCGGGTGTCGAGGGCGCTTTCTTGACAGGGGCAACCCGTCGACTCGGTGTACGACTCGGGGTCTTTGTGGGCGAAGCTTTCTTGGGAGAGACATAGTGGCCACTGCGTGGTGAGGAAACGGACAATTCATCAAGTCGCAAAGTTTTCGAAGGCGTGCCTTCCTCCTCAATTGGCGCCTGTCTGCTACCGTTGTCGAAGTTTTCGAGTTCCTGCAGTTTGCGTTTCTTGGAAGGAGAGACCGGAAGAGATGTAATCTTCTTTGCAGGTAGTTGCGGAGTAATGCCGGCTTTGGTTGCCCGAGTGAATGCTTGAATGGCTGGCTGGGCAACGCAGCTTGATCGGGAGGTGCGCGGCATCGCGACTTGAAAATTTTTTGCGGTCGAGGGATAAATAAATGAAGAAAGGGCGATGGATACAACTGTATTATAATAGCCAAGGTAAGAGATACCGAAATATTAGAGCAAACAAGAAGCGGGAAAGTGCAGAAAGTGGAAAGTGGGAAGTGGGAGGAGATGTCTGAGAAGGTGCAAAGGAGAGACGCGTTCGAGAGCGCGTGGAAAAAACCACACTAGCCTTTTCGGGTTAAATGGAAACGCGTGAGCCAGAACGATATGAACTTCAATTTAAGTATAGAACATAAGTAGACTCGTTTGAAAAGAGAGAGAGAGGAGACTTAATATAATAAATCCCAGAAAAAAAGGTTGAGTATAAAATATCAGAGAGCTCCAAGTCCAGGCATTCTCGTCACTACGGTAATACTCCGGCATTGGAATGTCAGTGTGTCCAAGCTCAGCGCCTAGACATTTCTGCACTCCGACGCATGGCAGAAAATCAATTCCAAATTGGTCTTTACTATCGAAAAAGGACTGGATGACAGTACTACTCTGTTTCATGACGCGCCCTAGGCAGACCAGTACCAGGCACATTGAATACTGAATACTCAGCATACATGAACTCCTACTACGACATTTACAACAGGAAACACGTGAAAGTTTCATAGACATGGAATTATTCGTGATATTCTCGAACCGACCAGGGCCGTAATAAAATAATAACATTAAATCGTCGAGGCTCAATGGCGAAAAGAGCTTATTTCTTGCCACTCAACCAGCCAGAGACAGCCCCCTTGGCTTCGGCAGCTTTTTTCTCGACGTCGCGATCGATCTCGTCAACACGGCTGTTGATCTTATCCCGGTTGGCGTTGAACTTGTTCTTTGCTTCGTCGCGGAGCTCATCAAGCTTTTCCTTGCCCTCCTGAGCTAACTCGGGGACGCGCTTGCCCTCAGCGCGAGCTCTGGCGATCTAGAATTGGATGGTTAGTATGATGTATCACATTATCTCCAGTTGTGGATGGTGGGGCGAGGATCGAGCATTAAGGACGGATGCTGGGGTGACACCATGCATAGAATAGGACTTACAGCATCATCAATATTGGCACCGGCTTCCTTGCCGACGTCCGTGCCAAACTTCTCAGCGTTCTTTGTACCTGGGAGCTTCTCGCGTGCCTTTTCAGCGTCGACTGGAGTTGAGGAGGAGAGTCAGCCCAACGTCCCGAGGCAGTTCAATGGTATTGGAGGAATTCGTCAGACGGAGCACGTACTTTTCATTTGATGCTTTGCTGCTGAGGGATTGCCGCCGGCAGAGTACAAGTAGTAACCGCCTGCACCCGCCGCAGCGAGACCCAGATACAATGGAACCCGGCTCTTCGACATGATGTGTAGTGTGGCGTAGTGTTGGGAGGGGAAGATGTAGAGGGTAAAATTGAAGTAAATGCCGGGGTTGACAGGTCGAAGTATCCCTGGTTTTATAGGTAGTTCTCAAGACCGGGGAAACGAGTCGACTATGACGTCTTGTTCCCAGTCCTTGTCCGCATGTACTAGAACTTGCCTCTGCCCTGTATTTTCTTTCTTGTCTTTTACCCTCCTCTCGGGTGCTGTTTCACTTTTTACATATTCATTGGCCACTGGATTCTGTTCAATTATTATTCCAATCCCCCAATTCCTCTTGAATGTCGACAATATTTTCAACACCGTTCATAAAAGCGTGCAGGGTTACAAGTGGAGACGAACCAAGACCCAGTCCCGGAGAGCTAAACTTCCCGTCGACGTCACCTGCAAGTCATTGATGCCTCATTCCTATCCGGTTCTGGGGCTTTCTTACCAGCCACATCTAATGTTGTGGAGCAGAACTTCTACAGTACTACCTAGGTATGCATCCATACAATACAGGGTTTACTGTAGAATGGTTCCAGTCGATCTTATACCCCGCATCCTTACTCGAGCTCACCGCCCCAATGCTCTATTCCCAAGCCTCTTAGTCTATGCTTGCGTGGATCTTTTACGTTTTCCCATGAAGAGATTTTTACTGGGCTTGTGAGTAGGAGAAGGCAGCATGAAGGCATTCCAGTCATATTCAGATCATAAAAGATATCCAAAGCCCTCATAGTTGTAGTCCGTTAAAGCATCATATACGATCCACCCCAAAAAGAATATAGTAAGACACAAAACGAAACGAGAAGGCGAGATGAGGGGGTAGAGAGAGCGAAGTGACTCAAGATGGGAGAGATGAAGAGGTCACGGAGTAGGAGAGCGAAATGCAACACTCGGTCACACCGTGGACCACGACCAAAAATGAAAAGAGGTATCAAATGATCGATAGACAGGAGGAACCAAGATCGATAGACAGGGTATCGTCATGCAAACGACTCCATCCACACAGAACTTCCCATGCGAACACCAGGACATGCAGCTCAGGACTAAGAACTCATCTGGAAAAGATTGCCATCCGGAACCGTCCGAAAAAAAGAATCATAAAACACAAAGATAAGACTCCCGAACACAAGTAAAAGAAAGATGGGCTATGTTCCCTGGCCGTGTATCAGTCGTCGTCAAAGTCGTCAGTTCATCAAGGGTCTCGCTATCATAAAATGGCAAGTATGAGAAGAGAATCCCCGAAATATATAGAGAGAAATAAGAAAGAATTGGAAAATCCGAGTAAAGGTCAATGGGTTTCAGTTAGAAGTAGGGTGGGCGGAAAGAGTGGCTGATATGGTTCATGTGTTTGGGGTGTGAGATAGACGGGACGGTGGGATGCCAAGTATATGATGATCACTCTCCAGCTAGTTGCAGGAAGCGAAGATGATTTTTCATATGTAGAACGATGTGGAATGGTATAGAATAGGAGGGCTTTGTCCAGACAATTTACAGAAATAGCTTGGCTGCTCCTTTGTTCTCGCTTGTAGCGACGGCGACAAGAGCCTCCAGGCGACCCATGCCCGAATTTCGGGCAGGAGAGTCCGAGAAGACATCAGGCCTGGGCTCCCGGTCGTTGTGGGCTTCGTAGCCGCGCGCGTGGGAGGACTCACGGCCACAGATCTATCACCGCGTTAGTAACCCGGGCGATAGCCGTCCGCTCGAACAGGAGTTCCTACCGGTGGAGGGTGATCGGAAGGCAGTGAGGAATCATGAGATTCGATATATCCGCTGCTGTGCACAATCGCGGGATGATACTCGAGTGATGCAGTGGATGGGGTATGTACACCCTCGCTGCTACTGGAATCCTCGGGGGAAGTTCGCGTGCGGCTGCCCGTGGAAAGGCTTGGGCGATGTCCCCGATACTCTTCAGGGCTTCTTTCGGCAGTTGGGCCAAATGCAGGCTGGTAAGAGGTCGATGGGCGGGAGGAGACGTTTTGGAGGTCCGCAAGTGTTTGTTGACTCCATTGAGAAGCGGATGCAGTGGATGGACGTCGGTCTCGGATATCCAGTCCGGTCAAGTTATGATGCAAAGACATATCCCAGGATACATGGCCTCGTCGGTGACCAGGGCCGGAGATGGGAGGTGGTGGACGGTGGGCTGGCTGTGTGTAATTGAACCCAGATCCAAAGCCTGGGTTGGGTGGTGGACGATGGTGGCCATCAAGCTGCATTGGGCTGGCTTTCCTGGTGGGTGGGGTCATCGGCCGTTGGACTACTTTGTCGAAACTCTCAATCCCGGGGAGTCGGGGCGGATGCTCGGCCGTACCGTTCGCGCCGAATGAGGCCGGGACATTGTCGGGTGTATGATATTGATTCAAGCCACTAGTCCCAGGACGTGGAAACCCTGTGTACGACGAAGGGTGCCATGTTCTCCTTCGCATCTCCGCCTCAGCCGCGCTTAAGGTGCCCTCATCACGGGATACAGAGTAATGTGTGCTAGTGGGGCTTGCAAACACGCCAGCGGCATTTGGATAAGGTGCGCCGGCGGGAGTGTGATATGCCGGAGGATATGTGTTGCCGTGCTGTGCGAGGAAAGGGTTGCTGCTGGTGGGCACTGAAAGACGACGGGCGGCTGTCTTTCCTTCCCAGAACCCATGTGTTGTGCCAGACATCGGCGAAGCATATTGGGGACTTCCACCAGTAGCAGCAAACATATTGGAGGGGGTGTATGGTGATCCAGCTGTCGAGGGACCAGGGGCGCCACGGATCTGGGCTGGGGGTGTACTCGGAGGCTCTCCCATGGAATCCATTGCCAGTCGGGATCGAGCTGCGGGGTCATTGGCCATGATCAAAGGCGGAGGGCGCCGCCGAAGCTCCGGAGGTTGGCTGAATGTCGAAGTGGTGGACGCAATACTCGAAGTTGACAAGTTCCTGCTGTGACCTCGGCTATGGCCGCCAATACTGCCTGCGGTGCCTGCCCGCGCCCGGCCTGGTGGCCGCACTCGATCTGTACGGACCTGACGCTGGAACCGTGTGCCCGTGGCCGCCAGCGAATCCCCGGGAATTTCCTCGTTGACATGGACCGTTTGAGCATGCTGGCGGAGGTTGTCGAGTCGGGAAAACCGCCGAGAGCAGTGGCACTGGAAGGGACGTTCACCGGTGTGTTTCCGAATATGGCGAGCCAGATGTTCACTCCGGGTAAAGCTCAAATTGCAAGGAGGGAAGGAAGTGCAGAAGAATCGTTGGCCTTTCTTCTTTTTCGAGGGGGGTCCGTTACTCCCTATGTTCTGATCGTGATCGTGATCGTGATCGGAATCGTCTTGTTCTCCCTCGGAATCGTGCATCTGTTCGTCAGACGTTGACGGGGTTCGAGCGTGGGTCAAGGTTGTGCGGGATGAAGCGTCGCTACCGCGGCTGTGGTGTGAAACTCCGTCTGGAAACTGCTCCGTCGAAGATACGTCCTGTGTGACCGGCACGCCATTTGGGATCGCACGGGGTGTAGCTTCTCCATCCATCGCGTGGTCTTCAGGGGCCGAGTTGTTGACAGGGAGAAAGGAAGCCATAGCGACGTAAGAGGGTGGGAGGCGGGAGTGATGTCAGGTCTTCGGAGAACCAAATGCGAATGTTCCTGACCACCAGTCGCAAAGCCGACAATCCGATCGGAATAATCACCCCAGCGCCAGTTGGAGTTCTATGTGTCTCTATGTCAAGTCGTAAAAACCGCAGCGCTACGGATAAATCGGAGGGGATCAAGACGCGGAGTCTGGTCGGATTGACTGTAAACATTTGCGCAAATTCAGTAACCTGGACACTACTAGAGTGGGCCAAAAAAAAAGAGAGAGAGAGAAAAGACCAAAAGAGATTCGGAGAAGTTTCCACACGTACGATTTGAAAGTGCGCTTACTCTGGAAGAGAAAGAAGAGAAAGAGGGGCGGAAATAGAATGTGTACTAGGATCTCAAACGCAAGGGCGGGGAGAAGTCAAGAATGTAAGAAATAAGAGAAAAGGGAAGGTCGTTAGCTGATCGCGATCATCTCTGAAATATTTCCAGAAAAGAAAAATAGAGCGACCAGCCGGGTAAGAAACAAAAAAGAACCAAAAGGGAAAAAAAAGGGTGAGTATATATGCAGGGTATATACTAATAGAGAAGGTTATAAAAAAGAAACAGAGAAAATGGTGACGATGAGAAGAAGAAGAGGCTTATCGGGGAAGCGAGGGGCAAAAGAAAAGAGTAAAAGAGCAAAAGAGCATAAGAGTAAAAAGAGTAAAAAAGAGTAAAGAGGACAGGAACTCAAGAACTCAAAAGACCTTCCGGGGCTACCGATGCGAATCATTAAGTGTTTCACCAGATATCCGCGTGTCTCCATTTTATTCAAAAGGCACCAGGCACCTCCATGATTCATTAGTGACTTGAACTACTTGAACTTTTAGCTACTTTGGAGCTACTTGGAACTTGGGTGACTTGAACATCTAAGTCTAGACCTTGTTTCTCTCGAACTATATAGGAATCTATTATACAAAAGTAAGTTAAACCCTCGAAACTGGGGTTCTTGACGTTAACCATCTTTCCCAGACCCTGGAAATAGGCACTGCCAAGCCTCGATAAGTTTGGTCCTTGGGAGAAAAAAAAGGTCGAGACTCTTTGGTGGATTTGGTGGAGATCTTAGGGTTAACCTCGAATATACTCCGTACAATCCCCTCAACCATCCCCCCTTGCATCGCGTGGATGTATCGCACCTCGTCATACTCTTAGAAAGAATGGTTACGCGGTAGGGGGGAAAGAGTTCCGAATGGTCCGCCCCGATACGAAGTCTTCATATAATATTATCCTATGCTCGAGCCCTCTTTTGGAGGATCTCACATTGGTCCGAGCCCATGATAATTTTAGATTATACCATGTTAAGACTGCGGGGGTGTTGATAAGAGATAGATCTCATTTTCATCTTTGTATACATTCTACAATATACATGTGTACACATTCTAGACATTCTAGACATTCTAAACCATTCTAGAACATACCTCTTTCGATACTTATTCCTCCGAACTCAAAAGAAGCCAGAACTAATATTCAAAAAGAACTCGTCACCTAGATGATCCGGCAGCTCCGTTGAAACCGCATTCAGGCAACTCATCTGAAACTTTCACCCCCTGGGACTAAGCCCGTTGGCCCATCGTGCCTGCGTCGCTGCTAAACTTTCCCCCCACTTCCCTCGACTCTGCAAACGGCAACTCCCAACCTTGGGAGTCAATGCTGTACAACATCCTCAGATCCTTGGTTCTCATGTACTTTAATGTACTCTATTCCTTTGACTTGGACCTGGGGGTCAAATACCACATCGGAAACAGATCGAGATGTGACGCCACGGCCGATGTGGATGATGTGCTTATTCCCCCTTGGATTTGACCTCCATTGTAGCAAATCAAAAATTACTGACCATGTACTGTACCGCATTGGCCCCAGATCGGCCCCATGGAGGTTTGGTTATGATCCAGCAAACACGATTGGCGGGGACAAAAGAGGCGATATACATTACTCTTCCATGGAAGACATGGTTCCCCTCATTGACCAAGAGTGGCATATTAATCTACATTACGTATATATAGTTTGCGAAATATGATTCGAGGATGTGAACAGGTGCTATAGGTGAAATGGATGAAGATGGGGCTCCTGCCGTTAGTCCGAATGATCGACATTTTAGTTGACTGACATTGTCTCCCACAGGAAATGTCCTGGACGGAATACAACGGAGAAATAAATTATACAAGCCGTGTACTCCGTATATTGTACAATTATGGCGTACAGAAATACTCCGTACTCCGAAAGAGCAGAGATAGATCGTCGCTACAAAGATCAGAAGAGGGGAAAATCCCCGGGTACCTGTAGGTACATCTGCAGGGCGACACTAAGGCTGGCCAGAAGGCGCACGGCCAAGTAGAAACAGGTACCAAGCTGCAGGGCTTATCGATAAACCTGAACCATAGGAGCCCCGGGGGCCTGTCTGGATCGGTGAATATGCTGACGTCTTTGACTTGAGAGAGATCTCCAGGCTAAAACTGCCACATCTTCCACGCCTTCCAGGGATCATCGATATTTTCTTTGTGTATTATGCCGTCCGCACATTTCCACCCGTTTTTTTCGCCCCTGGGGAGGCGATCCGTTTGCCTTTCCAGCGGTCTGCTTATCTGACTGGTCATTGACCATTTACTGATCAGTCCAATCATAGGCCATGCTCTGCCTCTCATACCAGGTCCATCCATGTAAAGTGTACCTGATTATGTGTCGGGATGCGTACCTGGGTGGCCACGTAGGAGCCGCCTTATGTTGTATATTGTGACCATATGAATTAAAGGAATAAAATAATATCACTATATTAATAGATTATATTAATCTTTATCTCATATTATTTAGCAGTCCTCCGCACGGAGTACTCCGTACCTAGTGAGATAGATAGTAATGCATCGACAACACATCCAAAGCATCAATAAACCTTATCGCCCTCGACATCAATCGATACATACAAATAGTACATACAAATAGTACATACAATAAGTACTAGGAGGCTGAGAGTCCAATTCACATGTGAATTCCAGACCGGACGAAACGGACAAAGCGCACTACCTCTGTATTCTCTAATCCATACCTATGCAATTACCCCAATCTTATTGGACCCCAACCCCCCTCCTCAGCAACTGAGATGCATCTGTCCACCTCTGCATCCAGGGCATTGAGTCAACATGCAGTGCACACACCAGCTCCCAGCCACTTTCAGAACTGCCTGGAGATCCCCACCACCGTGGTGCACTGTATGGGAGTCATCTGACTCCTCTGGAACATCCACTGTGTTCAGGTACTCGTACAACGTACTTGCAGATGTAGATCTACCTGCTTATCTGCGGCACATCCTAAGGTGTATGTATATGCATTTACAAGAAAGGTATGCATGGGGACTATTTTCCGATGTTCGGAGGTTTTCGCTTTGGATTTTGTGCAAGCTGACGGATTGGGTTCCGATAACCTGGTGTTAAGATAGCCGTGCCAAGGTACATACGGGGCTCTTTGTTCCTGGTCAGGTACGCTAGTTGTTCGCACCTTGGCTTTGGGCATGGCTGGTTGTTGGTACCTGGGACTTGCGTGCCTAGGTGTTGGGTGCTTGTTGCTTCCAAGGATCTGTTGCCCATGGTGCGACAGCAAGGTTTAGAAATTCATAGTGGTAAAATTTAACAGCGGAGTGAATATCAAATAACTGGCATTATTTGAAGGTTGAATATTAAATGCGTAATGTCATTCAGTACGGAAAGCAAATCAAATCCTCAAAAGGTTTCCTAGGTTGGTGTATAGGAATGATCACAAATTCCATTCGTAGCAACTATTATCAGTGGGAAAGCGAAGTCCGAAAATATGATATTAACCGTTTGTTTACGTAGAGTAGAGCTTGTACCGAGAGAGTTTCTATTAGTTCATTTCCCACAGATAACCCGTCCACATTCAAACGTTGGAGGCTCAAATAAGCATATCCATCTGGATGCAAGGACAAGTGAGGGACTAGAAGCTTGCACCTTTTCCCTTGCCCTGTTCCTTCCTCTCCATTTTCTGCTCTCCAACTCTCTTTCATTCCCCCGCTATCTCTACTCTACTTCCTCTCCCCTCTTCTCCCTCTTCTCCCTCTTCTCCCCATCCTCCCCCTCATCTCCCCTGTCTTGCTTTGTTCTTGCCTAACACTTTCCCTCTCCCAAAAGCTTACCACATCCTATACCCATTTATAATGTGTACACATAAATTTCTAGCACATCCTGAGTGTGGCTCTAAGCAACAAAACACTCTAAGGCACGGGGCACCTACTATGCTGAACACCTTATTTATGGCAATCACAACGTGGGGATCGACATGAAGGCCAGTATCCTGAAGTCAATGTCGAATGTCGAATGTCCAAACAGAAATTCCTTTAGCAGCTTCGTCACGGGTGTTCAATCCATAGGGGAGACGAGCCAAGACACAGGCGGATAGGCACATGGACAGTGAGTTGTATCCTTTTTTCAATCGCGATTGCAGTCATTTTAACCTTCTAACCCCCAATTAGATCCACCGTTTGTAGATCACAACATCAACAAAAAATCCTTCGACCTTGGTTGCCTCAACCATGAACCACACTGGCTATTCACCTTCTCCTGTCTCATATTCTGTTCTGTTACCTTCACACTCCTTTGTCCAGACTTTCGACAGGACCTTTGAACCACGAGGAAAACCAGTGGTTGAGGTGGATAAAAGATTTTGCATTTCAGCAAGTCCAGCAGCTCATGTCGATCTTCTGTGCAAGGTTGGCAATTGGCAACCATTCCTCGAGTAACCTGAAGGCTCTGACACCTGCCCAACGAGACTATGTCTCCGATATGAGCTTTGTCACTATCCACCGCGGCATACATTGAGTTTCGCTGGATAAAGCCGTTCTCGACCTTCGAATTTTCGTCTATCCGAATAGTTCCATCATTTCAAACCCGAAAGTCTTCAGTACGCAGTACAGGATCGAGCCTAGACTAGGTCTGGCATGTCGAAAAACCATCTCCTGCTTCGAGGAGCCGAATGATATTCAAAAAGACAATCCACAATCGCGGCAGTATCGAGCCTACAAAACAATCATTACTTGGCAGGAAGACGACAATATAGATGCCGAGCATACGTTGGAACCCCAGAACAGAGAAGCATACCGCGGCTGATTGCACAATTCTTATCCATCGCCACATGTACGGCTCTATGACACACCATGGTTCCTCGGGGGAGAATGGTGATCAACTGGACTAGGTTCTGCGGACTCGTGGTGTGCGGAGTATAAGCATCGGATTGCAGCTTTCAAAATCTGTCTACCAACTGTCATCATCGTCACCATGGAGTTCATCGACGACTTTCACATCATGACCAACGCCAGCAAGGCAATTCTTCAATGCCCACTGACACCATGTACAACGCCTTCGACCAACCATCCGCGAGAGCTCGAATTAGAGACACTGCTGTTAATCTTGCCTCGTGTCAGTAAGTGCATAGCAGAGAAGGCTCATGGATACACAAAGAGCCATGGGCATTTGTGCTAGTCTCAATATCTCAAGCACTGGTTCGGTGGCAGTATCCTGGACAGCGATGCTGTTATTCAAGTTCGCCATGCAACCCGTGATCCCTTCAATTGATACGACGTATTATACAGACCCGAGACTGTGACATAATAGAGCTTTGCGATAACCGACGTCGAAATCGAATCTCAAACTGTCTGATTTTGTTTCCCCCGCAGCCGAATCTGGAGATGTGAGATCATCTCTTGTACGAAGCTCCAGCCTGTCACTCAATCACCCAACACAGAATTGGAGTTATATTCTTCGACACCATTCTATTAAGTGCTTTGCCGCCTGGAATGGAAATTCTCAGATGCATTATGAATGGTTGCAGGACGTGTCCATTTGCGGAAATCACCGCTGGCCCTGACACTGTTATTAAAGTGCAGCGAGTGGGAAAAAGAAAACCGAAAGCCAAAGATAGCCACAAACCTACAAGTACCAAAATAAGCCGAACCAAGCTGGAAGGACTTCCACAAGAAGCAAAAAGCCGGAAAGGGGTTTCTGATAAAGCCCCCAAGAGCTGGGAAGGGCTGAAAAGAAAAACCAAGAGCTGGAGAAGCTTAAAAAAGAAGCCTAGAGCCAGAAGAGCTCGAAAACAAAACCAAGAGCCGGCCAGATTCAAAGACGCCCCAAAAAGCCAAAAGGGTCTTAGCTGGCGAGGATTTACGATACTGAGATTCAACTGCGGGTCATGCCATGTTTAGTTACAGCTTTAGTCCCAGTGAAACTGTTTATGGGGAGTATGTGCAATGAAGTATGGCAAAGTGGATTCTCGGAGTACACTACTGCAACCGGACGAGTAAGCTTCATCTGTATCACTTTGGAAGACTTTTCTAACATAAAGTTCTACAGATTACCTGCTTTGAACCCACTGCCTTGTGTGATTTGAACCGATCATCAAAAACTCCTAGGTGGTCTATGTAGTCACTCAGGTGTTGATATATATTATTATCAAACGCTGCACTCCCCCCTCCCCCCCCCCAAATTTCTCTTGCTGGTGTCAGAGGGCTCCATTCAGGGATATGCAAATTCAAAGGCATCCTGACACGGCCAAAGATGAGGAACTATTTGGATGCCTGATGTCTGGTTATTCAGTTCCCCTGGCTGATACTATACCTCATTTGATATGCCAAAGAAAGCATGTTCCTTTGTTTTCTCTTCCTAATTCTTTGGTAGCAGCCCAAAAAAGGTTGCTCTCGAAGATTGGCACTGTGGCCTGCAGTACACAGGCTCACCTTCCCATGACTTGTTGTCCCCAAGCGGCAAAGACCACTGGAAGAACGCCTGTCGTACCATCGCTGCAACCGTGGGTGTCTCGGAGCCTCAGCTCTGCCGGTCTATGCTGTGGGACAATAGAATCCGACTCCCACACGAGCGTCACACTGCAATCCACATTGAATAATTGTGCCGTCTCCAGATACGTGTTCAAGCTAGGTGCCCTATGTTGCCGCAGGAAACATGATTCATACGCATTGACAACCGCCGAGCCGCACCTCGCCTTGAACTTGCGGGCCTCTTGCATAATCGTTTCCAAATTGAATTTCACCCCCATATCTCACATGCAGGGCTGCGTTGGGCCAGAGATATCATAGAGTCTGTTGGTTTTCGCGGCACTGCTAAAGACCCCCAAAAGTCGGGGGATAATGAAATCCATTTTCAAATCCGATGATGCAAATCGTCTCATGGGTGCTTCCACAAACCAAAGCGGGAAACTCTGCTTGCTGGGAAATCATCGAAAAAGAAGGGTTTCTGTCGGTATATATAAGGTGAGGTGTATACCTGAATCGACTGTCGAAAACCGTTAGTCGGTCTCTATAGTCACCAAAATCCCTATTTTGCCCCACCTGAGATCATATTGATCAAAAACGTGAATTATTGCATCGCGTGGGCAAAGTTGACATTGCCGGGGTGGGGGTGATGTTCCTATCGTTTCACCTCATCCCCGATATACCTATGATTGGGCAGCGCTATCTCATATTCTTTCTGCTGGGACAGCGTTGGCCAAACATGCATGATTTGGTTTGGGAGCTACTATTTCAGAAAGCCTGCTGACATCCGAAGACATTTTCGAACCCGATGATTTGGAACTGCCTTGTTATAGAGGACCTCTTTGAGCGATGAAATTCACAGAGATCAATCAACATGTCTGCCAAGCACGGGTCTTCGTTCATCGAAAACTGGGATGTGCTGGCCTACTCCGTGGTGATTAGGTCGATAAACTTTGTGAAACCACGAGTGGATGCTGATGGGATTCTCATCTTATCTACTTCTGCAACTGAGATGAATCGTTGGAAGATGGACAATACTCAAGCCCATCATGCCTTAAGGGGAACCGATAGTCCTCACTGGATGACAGCAGTATCTCTTAGCCAACAGGGAATATTGCTTGGGCATGACATATTCTATGGAATGAAGAAAGTCAACAAATGGTAAAAATGACTCGCCTGCGTTGATTCTCTGCTGCATTTGCTGCTTGGAATGTTGCGCCTTTTGGCATTCAGTGCTCTTGGTTTGCTGTTAGCTAGTGATAGCTTGTCGAACTCCTCGAGTTCCTCAAATATCTTCTCCTCATATAACCTCTTCCATTCTCGGGAGCAGCAGTGGAATTAGGAAGAGGTACCTGATTACACCGAGAAGAGCGGGGTGACCACGAGGGATCTGACTTTGAACGAGTGCCATTCGTTGCATGGTACTCCCATGCTGGATTTGGTGCAGCAAACAGAAATCAGCGAGTGCTTAAGCATTGCAATCAGTATGTTATGTTTCAACGAAATTCGTCCATATCGATGGAAACATGAAATTGTGGAAGTCCAGGTAAGAATAACACAGAAACCCAGGTGCAGGGAAGGCCATCCGACTGACATGAAGAGCCTATAACAAGAGGAAGAACAAACGTACAGGCAGTTCAGATCTTTGGTACCCATTTTGAGTGAGTTGTTTGGTGATGAGACGCAGCATGTCAAGACTATCTCTTTGCATCAATACAGATATGCCTATTAGGGCTGAAAATATTATGACATGGCTTGGACTGGCCCTCCAAATAACTAGAGATGATCCAACCATTACTCTACGTGATATATCTAGCTTGCGAGGAGGGATATACAAGTATCTATTTCTATGAGATAGTGTCATAACCCAAATCAGAGGTGGGAAGTGAGGTTCCCTCAAGTGATTATTTCATCGGTTGGCTGGCTACATGTATATATATATCATCTAATTTCATCACATATACGGAGTACCTTGCATTTGATTATTCTAAAAGATGGAAAAAAGACAATACAGTAGTATTTGATGTCTCTAATATCAGCTTGAATTAACTAGATATCTAGACCATACGTCCTACATCACTAAGATATAGAAGCCGTACAAACGGCCGACTGTTCTTAGTATATATATGAACTGGAAGAACTGACTCCAGATCTCTATTTACCATCTGCAGACTAGAGCAGATCAAGTTATGGTATTGTATCCCACTCTAGATAGATGATGCCATACAATTATATTTCTCATTAGAGCTGTAGCAAGTCCTTGTGACCGACCTCATCTATCTCGTACCGAATCTCGACCCCCCTTGTAAAGACTCGGTAGAATGTACACCATGATTGCAGTAGCCAGAGGATCACCGCCCCAGAGGACCAACAACTGAGCTCACCATCACGGCAGCTTCTCGCTCCCAGTTTCCAACCACCACTGTGTCGGTTCCTGGTCGACCCTTCTCAGCCAGCAGGCTAGTAGCAGACACCTGCGATGCACGGAGCACACACTCCTTAATCTCGATTCTGAGTCGATCACGGTTTGATCGCAATGTACGGGAAGAAACACCGCCTCGGCTGACGATTTCCTGGACACGCGGGGCGAGAGAAGAGGCGAGGGAGCGCCAGTAGTAGGAAGGAAGTGATGAGGTGTCTAGAGCCTGGAGAAGAGGCTGCAGGAGATTAGATTTGTTTGAAGCCGCTGTTTGGGGTTCGTTGGCGGGTTCGTCGGTTGTAGTGGTGGAGGCCAAGAGAGGGTGTGGTGGTGGGCGGAGGTTTTTGAGAATGTTCTCCAAGGCGACTATATCTTGGCATCGTGCGGAGGTGTCGATGAGGGTTCGGTCCATGGTTGGGAGTTGGGTAAGAGCTCGGGCGAGAGAATTTACAGACGTCATGATCGCTGTGTGCATGAACCCTTGTAACGTTGACAATAGGAGTTCGGGCTTGTAGTTGGCTGCAGCGGTTTCGCCCTTTGGCGGAGGCGAAAGAAGATATAAAGTTGTGGCGGCGGTTGCTAGTCGTGCTCGCGCATCGCGGGCTTGCTTATAGCCAGATGGCATAGATGACTGGCCATTGGCGCTTGCCGAGTTCGAGGATAAAGAGAATCTGTTGATGGTCTGTTGCGCTCTCGACTTGACCATATTCTCTGCGGGGATGACGAATTCTCCGCGTAGAGTGCGGATGACCTTCACCCGATCCAAACCATAGCCTTCCTCGCCCTGTGTCGTGGCTGAGAACATTTCTCGCAGATTCAAAATTGTGTACGCTACTCGTTCCAGTGCGCGGAAGCCATCCTTTCCAGTTGACGGCGATGCTGCTCCATCTGGTCCTGATGAGGGTGTTGGCCCTGTTGCGCCTCGGCCTGTAATTTCAGAAACCTGGCTCTCCAGCTGTCTGCCCAGGGTTAAGCAGCGCGCGACGGCCCTTGCTAGGCGGACAGTTGCAAGTGAGTTTTCAGCAGCAACACGAGCTTCGTCGGCTACTTCCCATTTTTGTATAACCTCCTTTTGGAGGCGCTCGTACCCTTGAGTCACAGAGGCAATCTGCGTCCCTGCTTCTTGCAAGATATTATCGGCAGCAGCAGTTTGGCTTTGGGTGTGTGAAAGCAATGGCAGTGCTGATTTAGTTGTCAATGCATGGATGTGTGTGTCGATCTCCTGAAGATCAAAGAGCACCCGTGACAATGGCGTTGACAAATCCAATGGGGTATCTGTTGCATTGTTTGTGCTCGTCACCAATGTATTGGCGAATGAAGATGGCGAGAAGTCTGGGTCTAAGAAGGCCTCATAGTCTATGTATGACGGATCTCCTTCCGCCATGATGGGTCTAGACGCGTCCAATATCTATCTCAATGGGGCCACATAGAAGAAAGGAGCAATGAAGTAACTAGAGAACACCTTTTGAGCCAGCCAATCAGGGGCATGTGGAGTTCTGAAATAATATGTCTTCAATGCGGCTCTCAATGTTTTGACATCAGACGACTTGGTCATTGGAGGAGAGAGGGATATTGGCCTTGAGATAGGAAGCCCACATGGCTGATAACAGGTCACGTGTGATTGCTTAGTCACTCTATAGATTCGCCGGAGATATAGGCGATGACACCCTTAGTGACTCGTGGATGATAATATAAATCGCAAAGTACGAGTGACCAAAGATAATTCGTTATATCCAGCTCATATTACAGCACATACAATGGGATGATGTGGGCAAATTTAGGGATTTGGACGGAGAGAACCAACCCGTGGGCTTCGGAAAGCTTGACCAATCTTATAGTCTTTATAATCTTATCACAATGGCATGATATACACATGGATCTCTGGAGCCAATAGATATTCAGTTTCAAATCCAAATCTAAATCCATTCAAACTTTGAATGCATTGGCATTCTCTGTCCTTTGCTCCCAGCGCCTTCCAGCGACAGAGCGGGGTTCCACCCATAGATAAGAGTTCGGAGTTAACTCCGAACACGGAGTACGGAGTACCAGACCTCATGAACATCAACTCTCAATATATAAAGGCCCAATTCCTGATATAGTGCTATAAATCAACCTTGAAAGGCAATTCTCCGTTATGTCGACCTCTACAATAACACAGCAAGAGCACTCCGTTCGTGTGATCAACGAAGATCAACTACCTCCACTGCCACCAGCGGCAAACGATGCATCGTTCCAGGGTCTGGCTCGTGGAGGCCGAAATGGCACCCTGAAACTCCGTGGCATCCCCACATTCTCGGATCTGACTGAGAAGCGCAAGTGGATGAAGGAGCACATGGCTGCTGCATTCCGGTACTTTGGCAAGCTAGGGTATGGAGAAGGTGTCTCCGGACACATTTCGATGCGAGGTAAGTGTGCAGCTCTCTTTTCAATGATATATGTGCTATGGGTAAGCAAGAGTATTCTGACGGCTTGCAGACCCGATCCTCAAAGACCATTTCTGGATGAACCCGTTCGCCAAGCATTTCTCGACTATCAAGGCTTCGGATCTCGTTCTTCTGGATGCTGATGGATTCGTCGTTGACGGTGGAGCCCAGCTGCCTGTTAATGAAGCTGGGTTCTTGATTCATTCAGAGATCCATAAGGCACGCCCAGATGTTGTGGCTGCGGCGCACACCCATGGTATTCATGGAAAGACGTGGAGTTCATTTGGAAAGCCAATTGAGATGCTTACACAAGGTTAGTACCTTTTTAGTCTTTCTTGGAGTGGAATTATGGTTTAAAATTGTGCTAACGAGCTATATAAAGATGCATGCAACTTCTTCGGCAGAGTGGGTGTTTACGAAGACCATGGCGGCATCGTTTTGTCGGCAGAGGAAGGAAAGGCGATTGCAAAGGCATTGGGCAAGGAGAACATTGCATGTATCTTGCAAAACCATGGGTGAGTCGGGTTTTTGCCCTTGCGTTTTCTATATGCGTTTAGTTCTATCTGGCTAATTTAACCTCACTCATGCACAGCCTCCTGACTGTCGGCCGTACCGTCGATGAAGCAGCGATTCTCTACTCCATGCTGGAGAACGCTTGCCAGTCACAGCTTCTTGCTGAGGCAGCAGCAGCCAATGGTCTTCCAAAGAAGATCATCAAGGATGATGCGGCCAAGTTCACCGCTGAAGCTGCCCAGAATCCTGTAAGTTGATTGAACGCATGCCCAAGTGCTTGAGAATATGTATGCTGACAATTTATAGCACAACTTCTATACTGAGTTCCAGCCTGAATTTGATTTGCTCGTTGAAGAGACAAACGGAAGGTTCCTCCAGTAAAGCATGAACAATATATATGAAAATTTCCGATTTGATCCAAAGCCCTCTTTAATATGTAGCCTATTCAGGCTCTAAGGATCAAGACAATAAGGACTTAAAATGAAAGATGATATTCAAAATTCCTTTTCACTTTGCGAGGCTGCCCGCAAACGAGACGATCATAAAGGCAGTAGTGCAGTGCAAGCTGGCCATTATCCGATAATCATATAGATGCACACCGCGGCGGCTGAATGCGTTTCAGGCGCCTTCCAGGCGTGTATCTAAACAATCCCCGAGCCGGCCAGAGAGATGGCAAGGCAGAAAGGCCGTATAGGAAGTCGAGAGAGCAAATCATCAACCACAATGTTTGTCTAGGGAAGCTTTGAAGGAAGGGCCCTGGAGAATTATTCTAGATAGCACGTAAATACTTCCTTCATGATAGGTAGCACAAGTTCTCACTCAGTTGCATTTGAGCTTCGTTGGGATAGATGCCAGTATTGGGTACAATGAGAGACAATGTATCTTTTCAAGAAGTAAAGATTGTACACGAACTTTTTCCATATAGCTCATCAGAGTTTCTGACTGAGAAGAATAGTACAAAACCAGCAAATATTAATGTAAACAGGTATCGAACAAATGAATATGGAAATCAATTCCTTCAGAACAAACGCCATCTATACAGATGCAACTGCCGCAAGGGTATACAAAATGGAAAAGATACATCAAACAGTCCATGGCAGGCCGAAGCGTGAGAAGGGGAGGGGAAAAAAGGATATAACATTGCAGCAAAAAGACGTTCATAGCCCCAACGGGGAACATCAACGATGGGGCGGGGAGCGAGCAGGCGCGGATTCATACAGCATGCTCGCCCGTGTGCTTCATATCATCCAATTCATATTCTTGCACGCTGCGTTCTCGACCACGGCCGCGGCCAAAGCTCGACTCCTGCTGCTCATCACCTGCAGATGCCTGTGACGACGAGGCGACTTGGGTGCGGACACCATGCCCACCAAATTTGATAGGCTCCAGTTCCCGTCTTTGGCATGCCCACATGCCAAGGAAGGTCATCATAGCTGCACTGGCGAATTGAAGTCCCCACCAAAGTAGGTTTGAAGGGAGAGAGTGCGAGTACAAAGTAGTGGCGATAAGGTGGAGGAAGTGGATCGTTAGAGCGAAATCCGGGACCAGCTTTGAGCGGGATACGAAAACAAGTAGGAATATGACACTGATTATCCCCGAGGGGGAATCATAGTTAGCCAGCTGATCATAATACTGCTCACAATGTCGAGCCAATGGACAACTCACCTAATAAAGCAATTCAACAACCACACCAACCCCAACATCCATCCAATGGTCGTATCACCGCGTAGGGAGTCCCAGCCGAAGACCAGGTCTAGCGAGAACGGTGCACCATAGACAACTGTTGTGAACAAGATGAGCACCGTGGCGCAGGCATAGTATGCGAGCTGCAGCAAGAGGATCTTGCGGACGATCTTCAGCGGAGGGAGTTCGGTGCGCGACCCCGCTGGCGGACGCCGGCGCGCGGACATCAACTAATAGACAATGGGGGGTATTGTCACCCTCGTGAATTTCGTTTAGGGTCGAGGTGTCAAGGTGGTCGGATTGAGCTCGGTATTCGGAGTGAGGGTAAGATGGTGGAGGTGAAGGGAAGGGAGCATGCAATGCTATTCGGGAAGGCGTTCCAAGTGAAATTCACGGACGAGAAGTATCCGATGCCAAAGGCTTCAAAATTATATGTAATTCCAGAACGTGGCGTGCGAAAGAGAAAAAGGGTCTGGAGATGAAGATCGCCTGCCTGGGATCAACAGTCTTGGCGGTCACAGGCCCGACCCGCCAACAACTGGGTATCTGCCGTCACTGACACCTTTTGGCTGCACAACTCGCTGCAAACCGCAAGATTCCCTACTGATTTGTACTTGACAAGTCAATTCCTCACCCGCCTCCTCTCCGACATAATCATCTATTCAAAATGGGCTGGCTACCTTGGTCTTCCGGCGATTCAAACAAGAACGCAGCCTCCGACGGCGGCCGCATTGCCCCGGACCGAACGAGTCGCGCGCGCTGCTGGGAGGGCCGTGATCTATTTTTCGCTTGCCTTGACAAGAATGATATCCTGGATGGCATTAAAGACGATAAGAAGGCGCGACAGAAGTGCGCGAACGAGGTCGCGGAGTTTGAGGCGGCATGTTCACAAAGCTGGGTACGTACGGTTGGATCTCTGACATGCTGCTCGGAATTGCCAGCTTTTGGTGTTTTATGGCTTGCTATACGTTACATCTATTCACTCGCAGCTTGCTGACTCGAGGTTCTTGGCGTTTACTAGGTGAAATACTTCAAGGAGAAGCGTGTGATGGAGTTCAACCGGGACAAGACGATTGAGCGCATTCAAAAGGAGGATGCGGCCAAGGTGAAAGAATTGAAGGAGAAAGGTTGGAATTCGAAATAAGAAGCCAGGGTGACTTTGTCGGCGGCTTTTGTACAATATGTAGCATATCCTCTCTTATCATGTACCTTGATGACCACTCCATTTCAAAGGTACATTGCTGGAAGCTGCAGGTCTGGGATGGCTTGCTTGCTCATCTTACTAGATATGCCCTGTATAACCTAAGCTCTAAGATCGAGAGCTCGTCACTGTCTACAGCACTGCAATGGGTTGCGTAAGACTATGTGCACCTCGTATGACTTCCGGACACATTCTGCCATACCTTGCAGTGATCTACTAGGATATATGAAACAAGACTTGGAAATCAATAAACGCCGTCTTGAGATTATCACCGATAACATCCACGGTGGAAAACATCGCTGTTCGGCCCTAGAAAGCCCGTGGCAGAGGGAAAATGTGGTGGGGTGACTTAAGTACACACTTTGAAGCCAAAAGAAAAGATGTCCAGCAATATTATAACCCAAAATATGTATCTAGGGAACACCCGTATTATGTCCAAAAGGGGAAATCAGTAATCACAATGAGCAATAGTCCAATGGTTGAAAAGACATGTCAACTCCATCCTAGACACCGCCTTGCCCCGATATCTTCCTAATAATCTTACTGCATTTGTGACACATGAGAAGCAAAGAGCAAAAAGAAAAGAGAATGAAACGCCTAGTGTTGCGAGAACTGGTTTTTGGCCAGCCAGAAAAAAGGAACCGAAGCAGAGCACTGAAATCCACCAAGTAGGGATGCAAGAACGCCAAGCTCCGAAAATGAACAATGACAAGATGAACCTTAAGTTCGAATGAAAAAAATGATAGGTAGTAAGAGAGTCGTGAAATCATTGCTTCCATTTAGCCAGGTGCTGCATCAGGTTCTGTACCTGGGGACCGACGGGTCCCTGGCTCTGCTGCTGTTGTCCACCTAGTCCTTTGGCCAGGAGCGATAGCAGGGTTGGATCCGTGATGACGGGGGCATTTACAGGCTGTAGATTGAAGGGTGGGTGGGGGAGGGGTTGCTGTGCGGTGGTTTGCATAGGTGGCGCCCTATGCGCGTTGGTCAGGAGACTGGCGAGGTCGGCGGGAGGTGGGTTTGGTGAGGAAAAGGGCGACTGAGTAGCAGAAACAGGCTGCGAATGGGGAGGTCGCTGGAGCGCCGACAAGAGAGTTGAAAGGCTAGGACCGTCAAGTGAACCAATGAGGTTCGCAATGTTGGGTGGGTTTGAAAGCGCAGGCAAGCCAGGCGGAGGGACCGCCATAGGCTGTGCAGGAGGAAGGATGAAACCAGGATTGGGTGCAAATGCGGCTGGCGCTGCTCCTCGCTGCATCGCTTGGGACTGGTGGCTCAGGAGCTCAGCAGACATATTAGGTTCGAGCTCGGGGTAATCTGTAAGTGGAAAAAAAAGAGTAATTAGCAAGTGGTCCACCAAAAAGCGGACACAGAATGCGCTTACCAAGGAAGCGAACATTATCCAATCCAGCGGTTCGATCAAATAGCTGCAGAGGAATCTTCCGAGAGACTTGGTTCGGACGGGCGAGGCGAACAACCGCAAGAACACCTTCAATAAACTGACGATGCACGGCCGCGCCAAGAGGGATCCGCGGACCAAGCACCAGGACATCTACTCGCAGCCCACGGTTGCGGAACGCGTTCTCTACATGAAGCACGAAGTTTCTTCGAAATGTTAGTGATTTTTTCCAAAAAGACATCGAGGTATTCAACCCACCTGTCGAGTTCCTCCAGCACAAGGATCTGCACATCTGGTACATCTCGCTGAGCTCGTCGAGGCACAGGTAAATCTGCTTCGCCTTCATAGATACCACGGGGTCTTGGGCTGTGGCTGCGGTAACGTCGGTCTCTGGAATAAGGAGAGCGAGGAGAACGTGGAGAACGGGAGCGCCTTCGCTCGCGGCGATCAAATCTTTCCGGGCTTCTGTCGCGCGACCGATACCCATCTCTAGATCCCCGAAAAGGTCGTGGGGAAGGCGATCGTGGCGGGCGATAATCGTCGCGTCTGCTGCGATGAGAAGGTTCATCCCGGAAATCGCTGAATGGAAGCCGACTTGCTTCATAGGGCTTAGACCGGTCGTATCGGTCGACTGGGGCTCGGACGTTAGTTCGGCCAGGACCGGCACGGCTGAACTCCGGTGACCGGGAACGACGTGGCGGCGGTGCACGGGAAGCTTCGGGTGCTTGAGTGGGTCGGGTAGATCGTTGAGGCTTTGAAATTTCAAGATCTGATGACGGTTAGGTCTTTCTTTGAGAGAAATATTGCTCTATGGCTTCAGGCACTCACGTATCTTCCTGCCTCGCACGACGGCTCCCTGTTCGACGCCGAGAGCCGCATGGCAGGAACTCGCCTCCAGAAACTGGATGAAGCCGTATGCCTGCTTGATCGATATCTGAGCCAATTTACCGTACTTGTGGAAGATATGGAACATGTCTCGCTTGGTGACTCTTTCAGTGGGAAGGTTGCCTGCAGATAATAAAATTGTTAGATCAACGAAGAGTAGATGTAACCGGGAACAAAACTGACCAACAAACAACCTGGAGCCCATCGGGAACCGATCCCAAAGACCTTCTGTCACATAGATCCGCTCATCGTGCAGAAACTCGTCATATTTCTTTTGAACCTCTGGGCCCCAGGGCATATCATCGTCAGAAAGCTTGATAGGCCGACCCTGCTTATCAACACGGCCTTTCTTGGAGGCTAAAAGCGGCTCTTGCAAGGAGCCCTGAGATTCGGCACCGGTAGATGGGGGTTTCGGGTAAGTGGAAATAGGAGGAAGTAGATTGTTGACGGCCGAGACCTCTCCCGAAGCAATGTTAAATGGCTGAGACTGGGTTTGGGGTTGGATATTACTAGGTTGGGCTGAGTAGGCAGGCGATGCAGTAGCAGCAGCATCATGGGCAGACGGAAGTTGGTGATATGCCACCTCGACATTTGGAGTATAATGGGCCTGGATAGAATCGTGGCTTTGGGCTTGAAGGTGGGCAGGGATGCCCTGGGATTTGAGCGACTCGCCAGCGGGTGCTTGGTGGAGAGACGAGTTCTCAGCGGAAGAGACGGCGGGAATGGTTGCACCGGGGTTGGGGTGAGAAAGATTGTCGAGGAGTTGCTGGAAATTGACACCTCCTGTGGTATGTCCCCCGCGCTCCTCAGCAATTAGGCGGTCCGGCATCCTTGACTGCTCCGGGTTGTGGGCATGATCTACTTCGCTCCCAGTGGCAAAGGCTTGGGATACCGGAGCGTCCGGAGCAGCGAGGGAATAAGTGGAATCGGGGTGAGAGAAACCCGAGCTCTGATGGCTGGGATTTTCGGACCCCGACGCTGGGTTAGGAGGGTAGTATGCAGAAGCAATCATTTCATTCTGCATCCCACGATTTGGTTGCGAGCCATGAAAACTACCAGCATCTTGGGTCTGACTCTGTCCCCCCCCATCCTTCAACCCTCCGTGCAACCATCCATCGTGTATTTGCGGGACCTGCTTATACACCGAGCGTTCATAGGTGGAGGTATCGTTGAAGACGGGGTCCATTTGGTTCTCTAAGACTGGGATATTGGATGGCTCTGGGATATGTAGGGGCCGAGGGCTTTCCGGAGTCAGAGTCTTTCCACGAAAGTGAAGCGCTTCATCGGGGGGACTGGGCGTCATGTAGACTTCGAGGAGGAGGTGGTTTCATCTACGGAGAAAAAGTCTCGGGGTGAAGAGAAGGGTCACCCTAGGAATTTTCGCAATCGCAAGCTAAGGTGGGGCGGGAAAAGATGGGTCGGATTTCTCAAACCTCGCCCAAGAGGGAAAGGGGACGAGTAGAAAGAAGAAAAATAGGCGATGAAGATGGAAATAGGGAATTAGGTGGGGGGTTCTAGTGAGAAGTGGGAATAAGGAAAAAAAAAGTTTGTCAGGTGAGCAGTTGGAGGCGTTGAGATGGATTTGGGGATGTCCACTGCATCACGAGGATAAGGTATTGGCTTGTATTATTATTTTTATTATTTTTTTTTTTTTTTTTTAGATCAATTTACAGAGAAGAAAGAGTATACTTCAAGTTGGTATATAATAGTGTACAAAGTAGAGCAATGATTGATGATTATAGTGGTTACTATAATCACTATAAAATCACTACTCCGTACAGAGTACATCACTACATCATTCTAACCACTCTAAACCACTCCAATTTACTCTAATCACTCTAAATCACCCTAGATCCCTATCCCAGTCCAAATAAAAGCTTCTGTTACGTACGCTAAGCGGGGCTAGACCACGCGAGGAACGGCCTTACTTTTTTAGAAGTTTTAATTAGTCACACTCCACCTCTCCAGGGTTTCTTCTCGTATACAAAGTACTGCTCTCATGTATTGCCAATGGCGTATACAATGCCTTCGGGTACTACCTTTGAGAAGATTTACATCTCAAGCTGATCAAGATGTACAAATAGCCAGGGATTGGCTCAAAACCCTCAATTCCAAGACCATCCCCCGCAACATCTGCGAGGTCTCCTTCAGTCGATCTAGCGGTCCGGGCGGGCAAAATGTGAACAAGTCAGTGTCCCCACTTGAAGATCAATACTGAATGTTGCAATGTTAATCCGGAGATGAGGGAAATAGGGTCAACTCCAAGGCCACCTTGAAAGTCCCATTGGATGCCTTGCTCCCCTTGGTGCCTCGTCTGATACACCATCCACTACGCGCTTCCCGATATGCCGCTGAAAGAACCCAATGTCTAGTTATCCAGTCGGATGAGGAGCGGAAACAGTCTAACAATGTGGAATCCTGCTATGACAAGCTCTATCAGCTATTGCAGAGCTCAGCCAAGGAAGCGATCCCTGGGGAAACATCCCAAGCGCAAAGGAATCGCGTGCAAAAATTGTATGTTTACCCCTTTCCGTGTGAAGCAATCGAGCAAATCTAACGAGGAAAAAAAAAACACAGACAAAGGGCTCAAAATGAGGGCCGGATTAAAGACAAGAAACAGCACAGCGACAAGAAAAGTAGTCGCCGGGGAAGCAAATATGATGATTGATAATAAACATGCAAACCACCTGATGATAGCATAGGGACAAGTTCGCCAGTGGACCCTGAATTTTGATAATATCCGATCAACGCCTAAGTGCTAAGTACAAATACTTGGGTATGCTATATGTATGCTACTCCTGTGCCGCGCGCTCCGCATTGCGGACGGTTGCCGCAATAACCTTCTGCAATGAAGGATCGAGGTCCTCTGTTGCCTGAACAGGTTGAAGCCAGTTGATCACTTGGCGTGCGAGATCCTTGCCCATGGGATACTCTCTGAGGCGGGCAAGCGAGCTACCAAGCGCCCGCGGGAAGTCGGCCGAAGTGACAGGGATTCCAGCGGTTGGGAACTTGATGTAGCAAATCTGCGTCCGTGGGCTGGAAGGCTTGTTGGCGCGCATCGTCTCAATCACATGTTCCAAAATCTTGCGAAGACAAGGCGCATCCTGGAATTCCCAAGCCATATCGAAGTACTCCTGACCGAACCGATCATCATTGTTGAAGTGCTTTGTGGCGGTATCAAAGATAGCGAGCGGGATAGCACCGCTCAGAGCAGGCGTGGAGTTCAGGTTTTGCAGCGCAACCTGGTCTACTTCTCCGTCCGCTCCTGTGCTCGGGTTGATATCTTCCGCTGTGAGTGATGGAAGCGCAATCATGTCGGCATCGGTGTCGTCGAGTGTGGCTTCTTGAATCGGCTTGGGCTTCTGGCTCTCCTCATCCAGACCAAGAATCCGTTGACGAGCGACCAGCTTTGCGATGTAAATCAATTCCAGCTTTGCGTATTGAATCCAAATTGTCCTCGCGCTCTTGCAGAACCGTAGACCGCGCTGCATGTAACTCCGAGCCTGTGTCATATCTCCGTGGTCATCGAGGACGTGCTTAGCGGCATAAACCCATAAGTCGGCGCTGGTAGGGTGTAGTCGCAGAGCATCGGTGAAAATCATGAGGAGTTTTTTGTGTGCCTTCTGTTTGCGAGCGTATTCGATGTACTGAACCCAGAGATTTATATCGCCGTGGAACTTGCGTGTAGCTCGGTCGAGAACGAAGAAAATGCGTCGCTGGCCATTGAATCCTGCCGACCGAATCCCAAGTCGCTTCACCCGCTTCTTTCGCAGCACATCGAGGTTCATTTCGTATTCAGCATAGCGCACAAAATCCACCGGTTGCGCACCACGCGCGTTGAGCTTGTGCTCGAAATCAGATCGCTTTTTGACGATGGAGGAAATTTCATCCTAGTTATCTTGATCAGCTGTGATTCTGATGGAATAACTCTGCTTGGCGGCTTACCTTTGTGAAAATCTTCTTGCGCTCATATTCCTTGAGCTCAGGCACTGACTTCTCGAGGAAGAATCGAGCCTTATCTGTTGCGGCGGACATGATTGCTGTTCACTGAAGAGGTTAAAAAAAAAGTCGGCATCCCGCATTGAAAAAACACCGATCAGCCCCAGGGTACGCTTAGCCGCATCGGGTTAGCGTACAGGGTACTCAGAATCACCGAGGGATCCGGACGTTGTTTTCATTTCCCTCAGGGGCCGTTTGCTCGTGACATCTTGTTTAAGTCGTATTTCTTTTCGTTCTTTTTCTTGACGCTCTTTTCATCCTCAATTTTTGCTTTTTTTTATCATATAGGTGCAGAGATTGCCTTTACCTCTGCGCCGCCATGGCTCCCCGATACAAGGACGGAGATGCCGTGGTTGCCGTAAGTTCTAAAGCGCAATGCGATGCGGATCTCGAAACGCCACTGACTTGACATCTTTTGCAGATCAACGGCAAATGGGTCGCATGGACTCACACGGCTTTCGCATACGCAGCGTTCATCAGTGCGTTGATTGTCGGCGTTGCTTTGCACTACCACAAGATCGTTCAAAATGAACATTACGGCTACCCCATTGAATGGTTCCCCTCCGTCTCAGCGACCATCGGTGACCGATATCCCGAACGATCCTTCTTCCAGGTCTTCATTGCTATTACTTCCGGTCCTCGTTTTGCCCTCGTTTTCCTGTGGTATATCCTCACTTCGCGTCCGAACTCGACCCTACCCAAGTTGGTTGCCGGCGTGGGTATTTTCCGGACATTGACATGTGGTGGTTGGACCTATGTCACATCTACCGATGACCACGACTGGCATGATATCTTCATGATCTCGTACTTGGTGGCCACCTTGCCGTGGACCCTGGGTTGCCTTGCGCTCAGCCCGAACAACCACCGTGCCGTCAAGTACCGCAAAATCATGGCCAGCTTGTTCTTCGGAACTTTGGTTCCGTTGATCTACTATTTCATTCAGCACAAGGTCCACAAGGTTCCTGGTGGTGAGTACTTGCCCTTGTGAGCATCCAATTGGGGGTTACCGCATGCTAATCTGTCAAACCTTTAGCCTACACCAAATATGCCTTCTTTGAATGGTCCCTAATCCTGTTCGATGTCGGCTTTGATGCTATCACGGCTCTTGACTTTGAGAGCTTCGAATTGGTGGTGAGGGATGTTAAGGGTGTTAGCAGAGGGTATGTACCGTGGCTTCCAAAATGACACTGCCCGCATCAAATGTATAGTGCCAAAGGCTATATTGGTTTTGAACAAAGAAAACATTTTCTAAGTTCGTGCTCATTAGGCAATTGAAAACGACTGCAGATGCTGTCTTGGAGAAAGAGTGTGTACAATCCCATAACCAACTACAACCATCCCGGAAATTAACCACATGCGTAGGAAGGGCAAGCCAGTTGGCAACACCTTTGGCGAGGGCTTCTTCTGGGCTGAGATCATTGATGCCGCTTCGGATGTCTACAATGGGGTAAATTATACCAGTCGATCATTGGTCTCCTGCGTTACTGACAATGGACTGTAGTTTGTTTTCTGGACCATTGTGACTGCTCTGCCTGTCCTTGTTTGGTGTAAGTGATATATATTCCCTAGTACGGATGGACCTGTCTAATATTGATAGACTTCCCTCTCTGGCACATGGGTATCTCCGGTTACGAGGTTGCCATTGTTTGTTGCACATCCCCGTTGCTCTACATTATCCCATCACTGCGATCTGCAGCGGTGAAGAATCTTCGCCTTCTTCACCTGCTTTCACTCGTTGGTCTTCTCGGATATAAGTTCCAGGATCCTGCCAACCGTCTCTTTGTGACTGGGTTCGCTCTTTCTACTACTTGTGCAGCATGGACCGCTAGCTTCTTTGCCGAAAGGGCCAACACTCCTCGTCTTGAAGCCCGTATCATGGCTTGGGGCATCGGACTGATCATGTCCGTAGTTGCCAAGTTCGCATGCAAGACCAACAACCCCCTTTGGCCAATTGTTCACGCTGAGAATGGTGGCTGGAACAAACTCGGGATCTTCCTTGCTCTGTTTGCTGTTTTGAGGTCCCAGAGAGGTTCAAACACGAGCGGCGGTGATTACTTGCCAGCAGGTGGCAAGAAGGGCTCGTCAATTCTTGCTGGTGTTGGATTTGGTGCTCTGATGTTCGCCATCGTATCGCTTTTGACTGACTCCAGTACCATGATTTCGTGGGTCTGGGATGGATACCCAGTGCGTGGACCGCTCGCAGCTCCTCACGGTGCTCTGACGATCTTCGCAATGGGAGCCGGCCTTGTGTACGGCATCTTCCACCCTAGAATCGCTGGAAGCTGGACTGCCTTCGGTGTCGGTTCCATTGGTGCTGCTCTCCTTACTTGCTACCACCACTGGACTGGATTCTACGGAGCCCTCATTCTTGCATTCTATATCATGGCCGTTGCTCCCGTTCTGATCCTGTCCAGCGTTCGTCACTCCCCCGCGAGTACGTTCGGAATCGGCTTCATCGTTTATGTTGCACTTTTGCTCTTCCACGTTTGGGTTGTCGCCTATGCCTTCGTGCCAGGTGGTCCGTTCCTTCGTGAGCACACTGACTGGCTCATGACCACTACGATGCTGTCCATTGGTGCGGGTGTCTTCTCTGCGGCGACCTCGAACTCGACTCGCTCCCGCAAGGCTCACAAGCCCGTCAATCCCAATAGCAGGAAACAGCGATCGTACTATATCTACGTTCTTGCTGTGCTGCAATTGCTTTCCGTGTCCATCGCCTACCTCCGCTTCCCGACCAATGACTACACCCCTCATCACAAGGAGGACAAGGTTGTGACTGCTGGTATCTGGACTGTCCACTTTGGCCTCGATAACAACATGTGGTCATCTGAGCGCCGCATGCGCGACGTTATTAGTGAGCTTGAGCTGGATGTCATTGGTTTCCTTGAATCCGACAACCAGCGTATCATCATGGGCAACAGGGACGTCACCCAGTACATTGCCGAGGACCTTGGTTACTACACCGACTTCGGTCCTGGTCCTAACAAGCATACCTGGGGCTCCGCCTTACTTTCCAAGTTCCCCATCGTCAACTCTACGCACCACCTCCTCCCCTCGCCTGTGGGTGAGCTGGCACCTGCAATCCACGCCACACTCGACATGTATGGCGAGATGATTGATGTTGTTGTGTTCCACTCCGGACAGGAAGAGGACCCCGAGGACCGCCGCTTGCAGAGCGAGTATCTGTCAAAGCTGATGGGCGACTCCCCGCGTCCTCTGATCCTGTTGAGTTACCTCGTCACCAAGCCGCTCGAGGGTAACTACAACACCTACGTGAGCGAGCGTAGCCAAATGAAGGATATTGATCCTACCGATTGGGATAGATGGTGCGAGTACCTTCTCTTCAAGAAGCTGCACCGCACTGGCTACGCCAGAATCAGTCGTGATACTATCACGGATACGGAGATCCAGGTACGTAATAATGTTTCTTTATTTCTTCTCCCACGCGGGCTTAGTTTCTGACTGTTTCGTGATCTAGGTTGGAAAGTTCGTCATTGGCGAGCCCGAACCCGAAAATGAGATGCGTATCCCAGAGGAGATGGTCCCCGTTGGTCGCCGCTTCCCTGCCCTATTCCGTGGCCAGGGAGTTCGTGGACACCGCTACCATGTCTTCGACGAGCCCAGGTACTGGCAATAGACAGTCTTCCTGAGCGAGAAGCGTGAATCCGCTTCATTGCGCAAAACTTTGCATGATGAAGATTGCAATTGATGGGTCTGGAATATCATGACATAATTAAGGACCGAACAAGGCAGACATCCCACTACCTTTGGGATTGCCAATATACCTAGCGTAACTGAATTATGAGAGTATTTTCTGTATTTTCTGTTGATCGTCTTCCTATCCTACTAGTGTTCACTTCTGACTTCGTGCACCCCGTCCTCCTTCTACATACTCGTACATTGCATGACCCGAGAGACGGAAAGTCAACGAATTCCATCTCACTTGGTATACAGGACAGGAGATCCTCTGAATGCGTAGTCCTGTATCATCGTAAAGGCTAGCCGGACATCTGTACATTATCCCCAATCCTTTTTCGGGAGTGGCGGGGCATTTTCTTTTAGTTTTCTTGGATCATTTTATCAGACTTGGAAACCAAGAATTAGGTGAGAACAAAATATGAACTCTTGACAGCGGTTTCAACTCCCATGTGGGAGTCCTAGCAGCAACCATATCGACAGGTTCATGAGACATAATCTCCCCCAACGCCAGCATGATCCTCTTTGTGTCATGGTGCTTTCCAAACTGAAAGGATCCTAAGACGGCTCTTTCGTATCGTTCTGGATGTAAACTTCGAGGTATTCTTTGTCCTGTGCTGACAGGCATCCGCTAATAATAGCCCTAACCACGATCAAAGACGATTTGAATTTCACCTGGTCGACCACATGGATCCTACCTGATAGAAGTTACCACCGCTATTTTCCCTCTCCGGGTCTATATTGCCCTTCCGGATTTAACATAGAGCCATCGAGTATTCAGCACAGGGCAATGACAGCAGAGTAGCATGTCTGTCCAGGTGCATTCCAGTGGCCATGCTGATTCCTCGATATGAACAACAGGCTCTTCATGGACGCACGGACTCATCAAATCTCAAAGGTCTTTGTCTCGTTCGAGTCAAATTCTGGTACCAGATCCAGATAACGGGAAAATGCACTTCGCTTTGTTTTAGTGAAACTATCGTAATAGGAAATGAGGGGGACCATTGCCAAATCTGGATACGAACCAGGTTTATCCCACCTGGTCAGCTTTTGCCTCTCGGTGCAAATGGCTGGTTGATATCCCTCCCCACTTGGAAGCAAGCCCTAACCCGCCCCTTTGCAATTCCCCATTTCCCAGTTTGTCCGGGAAATCATATCGAACTTCCTAGGATGCGATAAGCTTGATTAGATTTGAAAATTAAAAATTTGGACCTCTCATCTAGGGTAAGGAAGGTGGGTGCGAATTTCTTCAGATGGTCAAGAATACCGGCTCAAACTTCGTCGTGTAGGCTCGAAAACGAGGTATTATCTTCTTCCGACTGATATCCTAGAAATTATTATAATTTCCTTTGATGCGGTTATGCTCAAATTCAACATCAATTTTGGGCACTGCTTTTCTTCCTGTGGTTCCTGTCCTTGTTCATTGCTTTTCATGCGCTTTTCGAAGTCTGATGATACTCTTGTTTCTTTTCTTTCAGCTGCCTGGGTTCAGTAGTTTGGATTAATTGGTCTATCCTATTGGCTTCCTTTCGGTATATGCTCATGAGCCAGAGTTGATATTTTGCGGTCCCTCAAGACTTTGGATCAAAGTCAACAAATGTCCACAGCGTACAAAGGGCCGATAATATTATAAACCTGCTGCATTACAGCTGTTAGAAACTCTGATTGGTTTAAGCCAGAGCTACCTCCGGTTGCACGAAGTGGAACTTTGTATCAAGATTGACCTGAAACGCTCTTTGTCAAGGCCTTCGATATATCTGCAATAAGCTGGGCGCGGTCAACAAAGAAGAGGGCTCGAAAAGATATTTTTAACTCTCTTTGTGTCGGTAAGTATCCGCATGGTTCTTCGTCGGTCTCTGCTTGTGCTTTGTATACTGTCACGAATAGGTGACCCGTCTCTGTCATCTATTAATATGGAGCTAACATGTCCTAATTTATCCTCAACCACGAACACCACTCCGACTTTCTTGACTTGAATCTCCTGTCACTAGATCAATCATCATCATTGTAATAGTACCAGCTGATAGTAGGTATGGCCCTCGTCTTATAATTTTACTTAATCTCTATTTAACAAATCAAAACAGACCGGAAAACCATCGATCAATTCGAAAAGATGGTTATAACACGAGCAATGGCCGCGGGAACTCGCCCAAAGGCCCAGCCTCTTCCACCTAAGCCTTCCAAGGCCGAAAAAGCCGCTAAAGCCGCTAGACTTAAAAGGGACAAGGAGGAAAAGAAGGCCGAGAGGGAGGCAGCGAAGCGGCTAAAAGATGCGAACAAGGCCGCAGCGAAGCGGGTAAAAGATGCAGAGAAGGCCGCAGCGAAGGCCGAAAAGGACGAAATTAAGGCTGCAGCAAATGCTGCAGCAAAGGCCGCGAAGGTTACCAATACCAAAAACAGCAAGGGCACAAAGTGCGCAACCGCTGCGAAGGCCAAAGTCATCAAAGTCACCAAAACCATCAAAACTACTAAGAAGGCGAAGGCCACAAAAGGCAGGGTTATCGCAGCTACCGTGAAAGCTTCAGCAAATCAATATGATGAAGACGAGGACGAAGAGGACGAAGATGAAGAAAGCGAGGAAGATCACTATGAAACACAACCCAAAAGGCGCAAGCTCGAGACTGTGACTCCTCCCAATCTTTATGTGGAAATGGGCCCCCCCAAAGAAAAGCGTCCAGCTTTACGAATTGGGGAATGGGAGTACATGAGGAAAGCTGATGTCCCAGCAGGCGTGGAGAACGAAGACAACAGACCTCTACCTCACATCTATATTGGAGGCACTGCACCGCAGCCTCGTTGGGTGATCACCCAGAGCGAAAGCATAAAGGCCCCCAGGAGGATTGGTAGCACAAGTAACTTTGGAGACTTACAATGGACCTTCGAAGAAGGCGACTTCAAGAAATGGACCGGGCTGGAATACCCAGCTCTTTACGAACTTGCGTACTTGTGCCTCGAACATACGCTCACTGATACGGAGATTCGAGAGCAGATCTACGAATCCCTAGCTGAGGGCCCCTTGCCAACGACTGTGACTGTCGGGGGCCAATGGCACCCAGCTCTGCCGCCAATCCCCATCACAAGGCACTTTGCGACAGGATCATCCCAGCAAACTAGTCGAAAGTCAAGTGATGCGGCCTTCTACTTCCGGGACTATGAACGTCCAAACATGGCAGTCCGAGCACGCGGTGATCACATGGCGCAGCCCTATCCGCACGCCTTGGATAGCAACATCTCTAATCGACCGAGATTGGAGGAATGGCCGACTGCCTCGCGCTCTGCAAGTCCGGACCCGGAGAGCGAACGGGGCAGCGAGCAGGGCAGCGAAGAAAGCCAGTCAGACGAGTCCACAAAGTCCTCTGTGTCAGAAGAGGCTCACCTGGAACAAAATACAGAGGCCACCTTGGAATCTACAGTCACCATATCTCTTGGGAACGAGCGGAACAGCAAGAAAGACAGCGAGCAGGACAGCGAGCATGACAGCGAAGAAAGTCAGTCAGTCGATTCCAGGAGGTCGTCGGTGACCGGGGGGTCTGACCTGGAACTAAATCCAGAGGGCACGTATTCGGAACCGACAACCCCTCCGCCTCTTGGGAACGATGGGAAAACTGCACAGATTGGTAAGTACAGATGTGCTTAGTTTGACGTGATTTTCTGCATGTTCCTATGTCTTTTATTGTATATATCCAAGGTGATCATATGGTTCAATTATGGGTATGCCAAAGGACCCTTCGAATGGTGTGCGAGTGTGCCAATTACACAGTGAGATAAATATAGAAGCAGTCCGAACCAAAGCGTCCAGGATGACTCTTTGGATTTGGTTGTCACTTGGGCAAAAGAGGACGAAATCACTTTGACATTACATGTTGCATACTGGAGACCTATTCGAGCAATACGCTGACTAGTGGGCTCTAGACTCGATCTCGGAAGAAGGTTCAATCTTTGGCGATGCCGATGACGTTCATGTTGAGCCCAACTTAGCTCGAGACTCTCGAGAACAATCACCTAATAGCCTTTTCTCTGGCTCTGGCTCTGGCTCTGGCAGCGAGGTCAGCGCTTCTTCCAAGACCAGTGAGCCTAGCAAGTTCAACGCCGCTGACGATAATAGCGCCCAATCGACGGATAGCCTGTCCCCAGTATCCCACGATGGGCTCTTTAGCCCTGAGCAGATCGAGAGGTATTATAAAAAGAAGCAAAAGGATTGTGAGTGAATCCGTTTATATGTCGCCCCAGTCAATGATGCTAATGTTTGGTTCAAGTTGAAAGATTAGGCGGGGTCGAACATCACGAAGTGTCAGAACGAACGCGCCAAGCACAGCCATCACCAAGTCCCTTTCGGGAGGCGCTAGAGGCATTGGAAGACGGACAGAAAGAGTTGGAGATAGAAGAACTCGAAACGAGAGGGGTTACAGAGCCAAGTAAACGAATGCGGATGGAGTCTCCATCAACACCATCACCACCTGCGGCTAGAAGGAAGACAGCGGCTGAGATCATGGTGGAAAAAGTCATGTCATTCGCACGAGCAGGACGAGAAAAACGGGACGAAATGCGAGCAGCTGCAGCGGAGAAAATATCAGACAAACCGCCGGTGGCACTGTTGAAAAAGACTACAGGAAACCGGCCGGGTGCAAGATCACAGGCGGATGCACCCAGTCCTGAGATTCCGCCTAATCTGCAAGATGCGTTCTTGGAACAGATCAAGGCATATCTCAAGGATCCATTTCAGAGGGCGAGACATTTCCCTGACCCTCTTGCTGTTCGCCGAACCAGAGTGTGGGCAGGGGAGGAATTGGTGGACCATAAGATCAAATCCACAGTCGACGCTGCGCTACCACCTTCGGCTGAAAGGCATCGGCCTTTTAGCCAATGGCAGGATCCAGTAAGTGCCTCATTTATTGAGCTTTTTGATAATCATGCTGATCATGCTCGATTAGACTGGAATAACACCTGCACCTGCACCGTGCACCAAGGTCTCGAGATCGAAAAGACGGAGCAAGGGGCAAGGCAAGAGAAGGCCAAGACCAGCATCTGCAAAAGAGCAGTCAGTCAGTTCAGCCCGGTGGTCATCATTCAGATAAGCCTGTTGTATCTTTATAGCTTCGTGGTGGAGTTTGGGTTGTTTTTGTTCCCATGGTTGGTTTAATCGGAGTTATATAGATTCGGAGTTTGAGATTTCTATGCTTTTTGATTTGAATTTATTGGGTGTTTTTTTCTTATATTTTCATTTGACCGTCATCGTCCTTCTGATGAGCATTGCATTCTTACAACACTGGGTTGGAGCGAAACATGTGTGTTGTCCGACGTAGTTGTATCTCCCGTTGTAGAATATGGTATTATCGTAAGGCAATGATTGCCGGCACAATGCCCCAGGAGAAAATATAGAAGACAAAATATATCTACTCCGTATAGCTAGGTGTAATGGTCAGTAAAAAAATACCTTGAAGGTGTTGAGTGGAGGACTTGATCTACACAATAGGCTCCACAGCATTTATATTGCTAGACGTCACGTGCAAACCGAACAAACAGCTCACCCGCCGCCTGGTATCTCTCGTCTTTGTTCGCGAAAGTCGGATCAATTTGACACGCTAGGATAATGGATCAATCTTGGAATTGACCAAATATCTCGAGGCATACAGCTGCATTGACCGTGACCGATCTGTCGCCGCATCGCTGGTCCAGAACAATCGCGGCTGCTAGGTTTGCCGTGAGTAACGGTAGACTCTCAAGATGTTCACTTTCACTCCCCTCCTTGGCGCTCAGTCGTCATCTTCGAGGGCATCGCAGTCTATCCTGGAACTTGATGGAGGCATCAAGATCCTAGTGGATGTTGGCTGGGATGATACGTTTAATACCCTTGATTTAGCGGAACTTGAGAAGTGAGCATGCGATCACCGCGTTTCCTTGTTTGAATTCAGATGAGCTAATATTACTATCAGGCATATTCCTACACTTTCTCTCATTCTCTTGACACACGCGACGCCTGCCCATATTGGCGCTCTAGTCCATTGCTGCCGAACATTCCCCCTCTTCACGCAAATCCCAATCTATGCAACGAATCCCGTCATCGCTTTCGGCCGTACGCTCCTACAAGACCTCTACGCCTCCGCTCCGCTTGCTGCCACATTTCTACCGAAGGCTTCTGTTTCAGAGCCGGGAGCATCGTCAGCAGGATCTGCGACTGTGTCAGGCGGAGATGCCGAAGCCGCTGGCAGCACAAGCCGAATCCTGCTTCAATCGCCAACAGCGGAGGAAATTTCTCGATACTTCTCTCTCATTCAACCACTCAAATATTCCCAACCGCACCAACCTCTCCCATCGCCTTTCTCCCCGCCATTGAACGGGCTTACTCTCACGGCCTACAATGCCGGTCACACCGTCGGTGGAACGATATGGCATATTCAGCATGGGTTGGAATCTATTGTCTATGCAATGGATTGGAACCAAGCTCGTGAGAGCGTAGTCGCGGGCGCTGCCTGGTTCGGTGGCTCTGGTGCCAGTGGAACCGAAGTTATTGAACAGTTGCGGAAACCCACAGCCTTGATTTGCAGTACAACAGGAGGCGATAAGCTGGCACCTTCGGGGGGTCGGAAAAAGCGAGATGATCTCCTTCTCGACATGATCCGAAGTAGCCTTGCAAAAGGTGGAACAGTTCTCATCCCAACAGACACAAGTGCGCGAGTTCTTGAGCTAGCCTACTCACTAGAACATTCTTGGCGCGATGCCGCGAATGGCGACAAAGAGGATGTTCTTCAAGGAGCCGGATTGTATCTGGCTGGCAAGAAGGTTACCAACACTATCCGACTCGCCCGAAGCATGCTGGAGTGGATGGACGAGAACATTGTCCGTGAATTTGAAGCGGCGGAAAGCACGGATGTCACAAACGGGCAAAGGACAGGTGCACAGGAAAAGAGTTCTAACAAGGGTGGGGGCCCATTCACCTTCAAACATCTCAAGATTATTGAGCGCAAGAAGCGACTCGAGAAGCTCCTAGCAGAACCCGGACCTAAAGTAATTCTCGCCTCTGATACATCAATGGACTGGGGCTTCTCAAAGGATGCGCTTCGACAAGTGGCCGAAGGACCGAACAATCTGCTGTTGCTCACAGAGTCCTTCCACAAGGACATGAAGGCCCAAGAATCGAAACCATCACAAAATTCGGCCACAATTGGAAGCATGATTTGGCAGTGGTACGAGGAAAGAAGAGATGGTGTGGCTCTAGAGAAAGGATCGGATGGCGAACACATCGAACAAGTCCACAGCGGTGGACGAGAATTGTCTTGGACAGATGTGCAGCGAGCCCCTCTTGATACCGGGGAGCAGTTAATATACCAGCAGTATCTCGCGACCAAGCGCCAACTTCAGGACACCTCTCAAACACTTGGCCAAGAAGCTCTTGAAACCGCCGCGGATGCACTCGATGACGGATCGAGCTCTACCTCTTCCGAAGACTCGGATCCTGAACAGCAGGGTCGCGCGCTGAACTTTTCAGCGTCACTTGCACATGCTACTCGAAGCAAACTTGCCGTCAGCGACGAAGACCTGGGCATCAACATTCTTCTTCGTCGAAAGAACGTTTTTGATTACGACGTGCGTGGCAAGAAGGGCCGCGAGCGCATGTTCCCTTACGTGGCACCAAGAAAGAAGGGAGATGAATATGGAGAATTTATTCGCCCAGAGGAGTATCTTCGAGCCGAAGAACGCGAAGAGATTGATATGCAACAACGGCGCACCGATGCCGAGACTAAACTGGGACAAAAGCGACGATGGGATGAGACCGCCGGCCCTAATGGACGCAAGCTGTCTGGCGGCGCAGCAGGACGGAAGCGTCCTCACATTGATGGCAAGAAGATTGAAGATGATGATCTCAGCCTTGCCTCCGATGGTGAAGACGCCGATATAGCTGCGGAGTCCGAAGACGAAGCAGAAGGCCAGTCATTCGAAGGTCCTGCGAAGGTTGTTTACCATACTCAGACCATTACTATCAACGCCAGGATTGCGTTTATCGACTTCATGGGCTTGCACGACAAGCGCAGTTTGGAGATGTTAATCCCACTGATCCAACCTCAAAAATTGATCCTGGTTGGTGGCATGAAGGAAGAAACCTCAGCATTAGCAGCCGAATGCCAGAAACTGCTGACAGTCAAGGTCGGCGCTACGGTTTCTGACCCTGCGTTTGACTCGGCTGCCATTATCTTCACTCCGACAAACGGCGAAGTCATCGATGCAAGTGTCGATACAAATGCCTGGATGGTCAAGCTGAGCAACACGCTCGTTCGACGCTTGAATTGGCAGCACGTCCGCAGCCTCGGCGTCGTTGCTCTCACGGCACAGTTGCGAGGACCAGAGCCTGCCGACATCGGGGAAATAGAAACATCGGGCAAGAAGGTCAAGCAGTTGAAAGACGAGGCAGCATCTTCCGCTGTTGCCCCGACATTAGAACAACCTGACACCAAAATAATCGACAAGGTGGAGGTATATCCTTTACTCGACACTCTCCCAGCTAGCATGGCTGCAGGAACCAGGTCTATGGCGCGCCCTCTTCATGTCGGTGACTTGCGATTAGCTGATCTTCGCAAGCTGATGCAATCCGCTGGTCACTCTGCCGAATTCCGAGGCGAGGGAACACTTCTCATTGACAAGTCCGTAGCTGTGCGCAAATCTGGAACGGGCAAGATCGAGGTTGAAGCAACGGCGCAGTCTTCACTGGCTCGGCCAGGTGGCCGTGGAATAGGGAGCTTCCTTGCTGTTAAAAGGAAAATTTACGAGGGCCTGGCTGTTGTTGCAGGCAGCTAATGCTATACACGTGACATGTATTTCTATCTTTTCCCGGTGTATAACTTCATGATCAACAAAGCATTCATAGCCACTTATTTCTCCCAAACACCAAGAGATTTATAATCAAACAAGTTTTCTTCTAATCATTTGTCTCGGTTAATGCCACAGATACTATTCTATCAAAAACTGCATTATCTATCATTAACACACAATTTTAACCCGAAACTAATATGACCCATTTCTTTAAATGCTCAAAACTTCAACAAGCATGAGTAAAGTCTATATCTAATGCATAACCTAGAGAATCAAACCACGAGCCGTCGTGGTGTAAGAGACAATCTACCATCTAAACAGTGATCTCGCCTGACTCTTCGGATTCGTTGCCATCGTTGCCATCGTCCTCAGTGGGAACTTCTCGTATGATATCGTTGGTTCGAGGGCCGGTGTACTTTCTGCAGAAAGAAATTAGGACATGTCAGTATCCACTTGAAAGGGGTTAGAAGTATAGGTTAATCGTAGACGTCTCTTACCCTCGAGCTGCAACCCACCACCATATCAAAGCAAAAGCGGCAATGAAGCCGCCAACACAGACGGCGTAGTTCCTGGGTAGGGCATGTTAGTATGCTTTTTTCATATCATAGCATAAACCGGGCTCAAGCGCCTTACATATTCGCGGGCGTCACAGGAAGTTGTGGCGGGAAGAAAAGAATGGTACTGATGAACAAGACCCAAACAACAGCAATGTAGTTAATAGAAGTACCCCATTTTCCGAGCGTAAAGGGGCCCTCGATGAATTTGACTTTCGATTTGTAGATTTGATGGGCGATAATGACAGACACGTAAGACAGGTCTAGTGCCGGAGCAGTGATATTGAAGATTGCGGTTGCTGTTTGCGTGGAGCCAATAGCGATGCAGTTCAACCCTACGCTAAAGATAACCACAAACCACACTGCATTGACAGGGGTATGGGTGCGAGGATTGACCTTGGAAAGGAACCTATAATGTATCAGTGCAGAACTTGAAGCGGGTGCAAAGGTCAGAAGCATCCTACTTTGAGAATGGAAGCGCATCGTCTCGGGCAAAGGCATAGGCCATTCTTGTATCTGCCAGCATGGCTGAACAGCCTGTGAAGAATTGGACCAAAATGGCAAATGCCCACATAACTGTGCCACCTCGCTTGCCACCGGCATTGAGGAAAATTTGGGCTGCAGGGAGACCGGTAGGGGAGGCTAGAATTCCCTCAAAATCGGTTAGACAGAAGCACATTGAGACGGTTAGAAGCCATCCAAGTGCCCCAGATACTAGGACGGCTGTTTGGATAGCAACTGGTCCTCGCACTGCGGCATCATGTGTTTCTTCAGACATACTACAATAAAGGTGGAAGGTTAGAATAGAACTTGGTAGCAATTTATTTCAGGGTCACGTACTGTGTTGTCCCATCGTAGTCGGTCATTGTCCAGGCAACAGATAAAAAGCCCAGGAAAAACGAAAAGACTTTTGAGCCCCATCCTGAGCCATCAGTGAAATGGCCAAAGACCCAGGACGCTGGCTGTAGGTTAGGGGTAAGGGTAATCAACACAATGCAGATGCAGATAGTCGCCCCAACTGTAAACTCATTAGTACAAGTTCAACAACTAAGTTCTCTTGATACACACTGTTTATGGGAGCAAACCAAAGGATGATTCGATGCAAGGATTTCGTGGTCAATGAACAAATCACGCCAAGAATGCATAGAATTGCGATTGATACTAGAACGGTCTCCAGCGCCGTCCTTGAATAATATTAGCTTGGACCATTGCAATTGGGACTGGCTAACGTACGGTGCATACGAATACTTGCCATCGACAAGCTCTGAATTCATACTAACACAGGCCAGCAACATCTGACTGACCGTGTATGCCACACTGGAGACTCCCGCTGTCTGCCCAAGGAGGTTACACCAACCTTGGATCCAAGAGAAAATAGGGACCTGATCAGGAGGTACGACGTGCTTTGTAACAAAGTACATCCCTCCGGCCGTAGGATATGCCGATACTAGCTCTGCCACGGAGCTTCCAATGCACATAGCCATGCATGAGCCGATGAACCAGCACCATACCGCCGTTGCTGGGCCGCCAGCCGATAAAGGCGAACCAAATGTCGCCGGCACGGAGCCGAGGACTCCCAGGATAGAGATGGCATATGAGACGGTTGACCATTTGGAGAACTCTCGTCGTAACTCCTAATCCGAGTAGATCGTTATCAGATTGTGCCCCGCTATAATCGTCCCAAAGCATTGGGCATCAATACCTGCTTATAGCCGATGCGAGCAAGCAACAGCTCATCATCATCGTGAATAGTCGCCATTGTAGGTTGAAGTGGAGCTGGGGTATCTACTCTTTCTCTCCCGAGCTTGCGATCCGGGTCTGGTTTTACGGTCAGGCCCATGATAAGGAGTATGTGACCAATGTATATGCAAGGAGCTTTAGGGGTGGGGGGGAAGATAAGGGGGAAAAAGAAAAGAGAAATCTCCGAACTTACAGAATTCCTGTATTATATCTACGTTGTACGGAGTAGGGGAGTCGGCTCAGGAAACCGGGTTATACGGGAGCCATCAAAGCCGAAAAAGAGACGGTGAGGGTAAACACGCCAGAAAAAAAAGATATACCCTAAGGAGCATGAGCCGGAGCTAGGGTTGGAAATCTGACGTGATTGGAGAGAATATGATAAGTGTAAAATTGGACTTGGAAATTGGTGGCCGAAGGCCATGCAAAGACGAATTGCTTTGCCTAAGGTGCTGACATGCTGACACGGGGACAAAGCCCTGGAGGGAAGGGAATGTTGACATGTGTGCCAACCATGCATGGCTTCGGAGCCATCAAAGAGTGGGATGGTCTTCGGCTAGTCTGTCTCTAACACGGAGTTATGCAGAGTGATTGACGAATAGCGAGCCGTACTACATTTTATTAAGAAAGGACAGGTCGGTAATTTTGGAAATTTCAAACTCATTTGAGGATGCTGTCTGCTTTAATAGTAACATTCAAGGATGAGGAAGAGAAAAAGGAAGAGAAACAGGAAGAGCAAGTACAAAGTGTAAGCGCAACGAAGACAACAGGCCCACGTGAAGAACCTCGGAAGTACGTAAATCCGAGTGAGTTTAGGTGGTCAATCCGGTATATCATCAACATAAGGGTCTCTTGTTATTCATTATTCCCTAATTCGGCTCCGTGATGATTTGTTGAGACTTTGTATACTTTCTCTCCATTTCTCAATCCCACCCTTGTGTGAACTCTCTCGCATTTTCACACCCCGCGGCATGATCCACCATGGCCGACCCTTCAATGTATAACACAATGGGCCAGGGATCCGGCGAAGACCCCTCCAATCCACAATACATGGCTCAGGCTCCCTCTCAGCAATACCCAGCTGGGTATCCTCCCAGCGCCGCCCCTCCACAGCCAGGAGCGCCTTACGCCAACCCCGCGCCGAATCAGTGGCCTGCCTATGGCTCACCACAACAACCGGGTTTGGCGAGTCCCGGCATCGCATACAATGCCCCACAACAACCAATGGGTGCAGCAGGAGCTCCTGGTATGGCAGGCCTAGCCTCTCAGATGAGCGGGTTGGGGATTGCAGCAGATGCGGGGGCCAGGACACACCGGAAGAAGCACCGACATGCTCACCACGATATCGGGGGTGGTGCAGCAGCCCCCGCACCAGGATTCAACGCCGGCATGGACCAGGCAGGCTTGCAACAACCGCAGCAGCAACAGCAACAATCGCAGTTCTTGAACACGGGCTTGAACCAACATGCTGACCGACCAGTTTCCCCGGCGGTAGGGTTGGTGTCTGGGCAGTCTGTCGCCGACATACCTGGAATGCCGAGTGGTGCAGGTTCTGTCCCTACTTCAGGCCGAATTGACCCAGAGCATATTCCCAGCATCCCGCGATCGCGCGACCTGCCCGCTCAGTACTACTTCAACCATGTCTACCCGACAATGGACCAACACCTCCCCCCACCAGCGGCAATCCCGTTCGTGGCCCAGGACCAAGGCAACTCCTCTCCTAAATACGCTCGTTTAACGCTCAACAATATCCCCTCCGCCTCTGACTTCCTTACCTCGACCGGCTTGCCATTGGGCATGATCCTGCAGCCCCTCGCGCCTCTAGATCCCGGCGAACAACCGATCCCCGTGCTGGACTTCGGGGATGTCGGTCCCCCGCGATGCCGACGATGCCGAACATATATCAACCCATTTATGTCCTTCCGATCTGGCGGCAGCAAGTTCGTCTGTAATATGTGCACGTTCCCGAACGATACACCTCCCGAATACTTTGCGCCGCTGGACCCATCCGGTGCGCGTGTGGATCGCATGCAGCGTCCTGAATTGCTTATGGGAACTGTGGAGTTTACGGTCCCGAAGGAATACTGGAACAAGGAGCCGGTGGGCCTTCAAACTCTCTTTTTGATCGATGTTAGCCGGGAGTCGGTTCATCGGGGTTTCCTCAAGGGCGTTTGTGCAGGTATCAAGGATGCTCTGTATGGCGATGATCAACCATCAGAGGGCGCAGAAGGCGATGAACCATCACGGAAATTGCCCGTTGGGGCGAAGGTCGGCATTATTACATATGATAAGGAGGTGCACTTTTACAACCTAAGCGTATGTGTTCCCCACTATGTGATGCTTTCGTATATTAACACGTTCACAGGCGGCATTGGATCAAGCACAAATGATGGTTATGACCGATTTGGATGAGCCATTTGTGCCGTTGAGCGAAGGTCTCTTTGTGGACCCGTATGAATCGAAGTATGAGACCCCCTATTCCTAGTCTCATACGGATCACTAACTATATTTAGGTCTGTAATCACTTCTCTTCTAAGCCGGATACCCAAAATCTTCTCTTCTATCAAAAACCCCGAGTCGGCTTTGCTACCGACATTGAACTCGGCGCTTTCTGCTCTACAGGCTACAGGTGGCAAGATCGTCTGCGCGGTGGCTAGCTTACCTACCTGCGGTCCGGGACACTTGGCTGTCAGAGAAGATCCTAAAGTTCATGGAACGGATGCGGAACGGAAACTTTTCACCACTGAAAACCCAGCTTGGAAGAAGACGGCAAGCAAGTTGGCTGAAGCTGGTGTGGGCTTGGATCTGTTCATGGCAGCCCCTGGTGGCACATACCTCGATGTGGCAACAATTGGTATGTTGAAAGCGTCATTGTGCCTCATACAAAGTACCAGCTAACTTGGTTCATAGGACATGTCTCTAGTCTCACCGGAGGCGAAACCTTCTTTTACCCTAATTTCCATGCCCCGCGCGATCTCCTCAAGCTGCGGCATGAAATCACTCATGCCGTCACTCGTGAGACAGGATACCAGACCTTAATGAAAGTCCGATGCTCCAATGGACTCCAAGTGTCCGCCTACCATGGAAACTTTGTCCAGCACACACTCGGCGCTGATCTGGAGATTGCCGGTGTCGATGCCGACAAGGCTATCGGCGTGCTCTTCAGCTACGACGGTAAACTCGATCCCAAGCTGGATGCGCACTTCCAGGCCGCTTTGCTTTACACCTCCGCAGACGGTCAACGCCGTGTCCGATGTATCAACGTTGTGGCAGCGGTGAATGAAGGAGGCATGGAGACGATGAAGTTTGTCGACCAGGATGCTGTGGTCTCGGTCATTGCCAAAGAGGGTAAGTTAAATAATCTATCAAACGACGTTGACTATGTGTACTGATATCATTATAGCCGCCTCGAAAACTCTGGATAAGAACCTCAAGGACATCCGAGCCAGCATCTCAGAGAAAACAGTCGACATCTTCAGCGGATACCGCAAAATCTTCTCCGGCTCACACCCACCCGGCCAGTTGGTTCTACCCGAAAACCTGAAGGAGTTCTCGATGTACATGCTCAGTTTGGTTAAATCGAGAGCATTCAAGGCTGGCCCCGAGTCATCGGACCGACGGGCGCATGACATGCGCATGATCCGGTCAATGGGCTGCACGGAAATGGCCTTGTACCTCTACCCTCGCATTATCCCCGTGCACAACATGCAGCCGCAAGATGGATTTGCGAACGAGCACGGACAGCTCCAAATCCCGCCTTCCCAGCGAGCCAGCTTTTCCCGTACTGAAGATGGTGGTGTCTACATCGTGGATAACGGCCAGGCAGTTCTACTCTGGCTGCACGCACAGGTCTCGCCCAATTTACTGGAAGACCTATTCGGGCCGGGCCACGACTCCCTCCAGGCCCTGAACCCCAACATTTCGTCCCTGCCTGTGCTCGAGACGCATCTGAACGCACAGGTGCGTAATCTGCTGCAGTACTTGTCGACGGTGCGCGGGTCCAAGTCCGTAACGATCCAACTGGCCCGGCAAGGCATGGATGGGGCAGAATACGAGTTCGCCCGACTCCTGCTGGAGGACCGGAATAACGAGGCCCAGAGCTACGTGGACTGGTTGGTGCACATCCACCGTCAGATTAACTTGGAACTGGCTGGCCACCGCAAGAAAGAGGAGAGCAGCGAGGGCGCATTGGCTAGTTTGTCGGCCATGCGCGCTCCGTATTGGTAGATGCCCGATCCGGGATCCTCCGTCCAACCCCTCCCTTTCAGGCACCGTTTCCTACCGGTTGGTTCCCCTGGCGATCTAGACTGCAAGTAAGCTGCAAAGAATGAAAGCGGAGGGGGGCTAATTGGTGGGGGGTTTGATGGGGGGTCGGGGTCCAGCCTGTCCCAGACTGAGAAGGTCCACCGGTGACTATGACGCTGACTTCAGTGGCTTACAGAGGCAGTGGGAGTGGAGCAGCATCCCAACCTCAACGGAGTGTGAAGTTAAGAAAAACCACCGAATAATTGTGAGACACAGGAGAAATCATTTGTGTATACCAGGGGTAGTTTCTTTTATTATTGAGTGTTCTTAGTGTCACAATCTCCGTGCACATGGTAAATGCATGGTCATACATTCCACAGCTACTTGCCCAGAAGCTATCTAAGGACCGCGGGTGGTTTTAGTTGGGCTTTGTTAGTTCAAACCCGATGATCTCGAATACTGTTTACTGTATGGACGATCGGAGCCCTAATTTAGGACCACTTAGGATAAAATGATTTCGCTGTGTATGTATAATGTAGAACGTGCTTTTCGTCAGAAAGAATCCAGACTCGATCGCCAGGTACAGTCAGTTGTGCAGGGTGCAGATCAACGTCAGAGGCGTCTAGTGGGGTGTTGCTAAATATGTTATTGGCTCAGGGCCTTTTGACACCTAGTCCAGGACTATTCTAGGTAATATTGTACGCCGTACTCCGTACATGTTGTACATAGTATTTTTTTTCTTGTAAGAGGGTCTGAGCTGTGGAGTGTCAGCTCCCACCTACTACCTAGTAAGGATAAGCTTGTATAAGAATTATCGACATACATGGAGCCAGACCGGTCGGATTGGTAATTTGCAGTTATTGACATTCTTTTAGAATACTGCGTATATTGTATAATATAATTGTCGCTTGGTAATGCCCTACTTGCCTCATTATGATGTTAAAGTACAGCATGTACCTTGATTTCTTTTCGACATCCATTAGTCGCTCATATTATTTGCCTCAACCCTGAACAGACTTTAATTCTAGATTCTGTGTTTTTTTCTATTCTGCGATAATTTCCCCGAATGTAATCCGAGGAATGGGATAGAAAGGTTGTGGTGGCTAACATATCAACATAATAGAACGATATCCAAACCCCCAGTGGTTCCTGGCGAAAATGCAAAATAAGTGGCTGTGTAGCCATGCTTCCGAGCTTCTTCCATGTTCTTTGCCATGGAGATTTTTTGGTTCAGAGTTTTTTTCAACCAATTCCTTCCATCTGTTTGGAGAACCGCGGAGGCGGCCGGATGGCCATGACATGGGGTTCCAGGGGTTGTGGGCACTATTGCCACGCTGTCAGCTGGGGCGTCTTGGCGATCAGTGGGGAACTTTGATTGGTGGTCAGTTGTATAAACACGCAAAGGTCTCTATATCGACACGGCTATATTGTATAAAGTTTAAGAGTATCACATATACGATGTGCAGGTAGCGGTGATGCCCTAACTGGTAGCAATGCAGATTCTGCAGTTGACAAGTAGAATAAGATAGTTTATGTAGTATAGGTACATCTTACATATCTCATATATACTATTATAGTCCGGTTCTACGCGCCCAATCTCTCACCGGTCTGGGCTCTCTCCAGGGCTCGACAGGAACTCGAATAGGCCCTGGGGGCGAGACGCTCTGATTTGGTTCCACTATTTTGTTTTTTTCTCTCGAATTTCTTCCTTTTCTTCTTTTCTTCTTTTTTTCGCCTTTTCGCCTTTTCGCCTTTTGCCTTTGAGTTGACCCACATTTCCCTGACCCGATCCATGGCTCGAAGTATGGGTGGCTTTGCACGTTTTCTTTCAGGGTCCGTTTGTATCTCTTAGTGTCTATATACTCTCTCAATTCAAAATCTATATAAACCCTCTCGTTCACCCCGGGATTTCTGTTCTTCATCACATTCACTTCAAAGTACAACCAGTACATTCCTTCTTTATATTCATTCTCTTCAATCTCGAGATTCACTCTCGTTGCATTCATTACGTCTATCGACTAGACTCAAATCACAATCCCACTATATCATTCTCTTATATAACATCTTCCCACTCTTCAACATGATGTTCACCAAGACTCTCGGCTTTGCTGCCCTCTTCTCCGCCATGGCCTCGGCTCTTCCCCAGGACATGATGGTCCGCCGCCAAGGCATGGTCCGCCGTGACGGCGGCGGTGTCACAATCACCAACAACCTCGCCCAGGACGTCTACGCCTGGTCCGTTGCCGGCGACGTCGGCCCCATGCAGACTATCACTAGCGGCGGTGGCACCTACTCCGAGACATGGCGCACCAACCCCAACGGCGGTGGCATCTCTATCAAGCTGGCCCTCGATCCCAATCAGAACGATGTTCTCCAGTTCGAGTACACCGAGGCCGGTGACACCATCTTCTGGGACATGTCTTGCATTGACATGCAGGCAGGCAACAACAAGTTCACAGAGTTCGGCTTCTCTGTCATCCCTTCTGGCGAGTCTTCCACTTGCCCCACGGCCATCTGCAAGGCTGGCGACACTGCTTGTTCTGCCGCTTACCTCACGCCCACTGATGACCACGCTACCCACGGCTGCCCCATCGACACTGCTCTGAACCTGTCCCTGGGCCAGTCCTAGATTTGTCCACTGCCTTTTTTGTTTGGCCGGTTGAACCGTGCATCCTTTCGCTTTTTATACCTTTTTCACGACTCCATCTAGTCCTAGTCGGCAGATGATTTTTTCTTTCTTTTCACGTGTTACCCTAGATGGTGATGCTTTTTTGAGATGAGATTGGTGATTTTTTTGTTATACAACATGTTCGGTTGATTCGACATGTCTTCTCCCCATCTATAGCAGGTTGATTCCCGCTGGGGCAGGATGTCTCGTCACGAGCTATGATTNAAAACCCCCCCCCCCCCCAACACTTGGATTGAATATAGAAAAATGGGAGTTATATATGGTGGGGGAGAGAGATAGACTTGCGAATAGACATATGATCATCAGATCTTGAAGATTTACACGAAATATACGATCTTTACTTCTAAATTTTTCATTGCTAGCACTATAGTGACTTCCTCAACTTTTAGACCATTTGACTTTAGGCAAAAGGAAAAAAAAGAGACCTAAACCATGAAAAATTCCTGGGAGGCAAAAACGCTCCGAAAAAAGACCGTGGAGCAAAGTACACGAGCAAAGGCACAAACAGGTAAAATCCCCGAGTCCACAGACGATCACATACTTTACACATAAACATATGGAGCGAATAGTGGAACCACGAAGACTCTGCCCAACACACCGAGACCAAGTATAAGCACGCTCTAGAACAAGTGATAGACAGGGACCCTTAAAAAACCCCAACACACAAATCTCCCATTCGCAGATCTGACTCCACCCCTCAGGTCCATTGCACAGGATGTCGATCCTCCGCCAGTCGGATGGGGGGGATGGCGTCTAAGGTGTCCACTGAGGGGTTGCCTGGCTTCGAGATTTTCGATTCGAGATTTCCGCCACTTTAGCCTCGATCTGATTTGCTGGATCTTTCTCGTTGAAAGGACCGAGGCGGATGAATTTGCCTCTGATCTGCGCTTTTCGCTCGTGAATAATGCTTTACGGTGTTGCTGGTCATTATTCAAGTTTTAGTGTGGGTGCTTTTTGTTATATTACTTTCGTCATAGGGTTATATATTGCTCCATAGTATGCTGTACAACGCAAGTACACGTGGTGTGGACCCACGACAGACAGGTACATAATCCACAGGTTAAACACACAGACAGGCACATAACTCAAAGTGCCGAGTTACCCATTCACGTCTAGCAGAATGTGTCTGTCAGGACTGTTCCTATTGAGAGGCGACTTTGAATATATGGGTGAACCACTCGTCATCAACCGTGGAAATATTCGGTTAAATGTCTGGAAAGAACAAATGGGGATGAACCGGAAGTTCAAAGAAGCTGATTATTAAGGTTATTCCATCCAATGGACTGTGTTATGCTTAAACTTTTTCCCCAACTCTTTTGCCGTTTAGTCGACCCTTCTCCATCACATGCCAAGACAGCCGGTTTTTCACTCGGGGCTTAATTTTTGGTTGCGCAGTCTAGAACCATCGTTACAAAGTGGAGAGTAACCCCTGCCAACTCTTTTCTCATTGAACAGTACAGCACAATGGATTTACTGTAGCATTCGGGGTGAATTTAATATGTTGCCTGTTACAACCTGCCCTGTTAGGTAGACCGGGTGCTCTCGGGTAAAACTGTGAGTCACAGACTTCACCGTCGACTCCTAATTTGTTAGATCATATTTGACACTGCGTCAAACTTCCATATTAGTCAACAATGTGCTTCTCTTTACGTTGTGCAATGCACATGTCGCATGATCTTGATGCCCAATGGTTCATACATATGATCACGTGATCGGATGCTGGTAGCCTCATATTTGAATAATCAGTATTTTATCACCGATCTGGGTGTCTTGGCGTCCAAAGTAGTGAATGGCATAGAGTTTCTTTATCGCCGTTCTTTCTGGCGTAAGGGCTGGAAGCCAAGGCGTCTAGGCCTCGAAATTTGGAGGTATGAAGTAAATCGGGATTTAAGTTTCATTGTTGCCGATATTGAGGTAGAATACGGTCTGAGATCCAAAGTCGACTAGAATAGGATCAGAATAGTGTCCTTGATTTATATCCATGGCATGTCTAAGTGTCTGAGTACAGTCAGAAGCAGCCGAGGTGTTGACCTTCAGATGGAATAGTTCGTTGAGCTGGGCGTTGGCGTACGGACTAGCAAAAGACATAGTAGCCTTTTCTTGTAAATTTTGGACTGCCCTCACGGTAGTATAATGCGTGGAAATGGCAGGAAACAAAACAAAGGAAAGAGAGACAGGAGGAAAGAGCTATCAATACTGGTTGATGTTGAGTGCCTCAGGCATCGAATGCGGCCTGAGGCCTTAGACCTAACTGCTCTTCTATAAAGGAGAATAACAAAGGAAGACATGGAAAAAAAAAAAGAGGGGGATATACGCGAGAACGACCGGAGTCGAACCGGAACAGTCTAGGTAGTGGAAGATCTTCGGCACTTCCCTCGTGGTACACATTGTCATGTTACCACTAGGCCACCTGCTGTTGGGGATACTAGTACTAGGTTGCTCTTACTTTTATCCTACGCTTTTTTACGGTTTTTGCTTATACACAGAGACACAGTACCCGCTATGTGTATATCAAACATGTATGCATATCCAAGTGAATACAATGGTTTGGTACTCACTGTCTTGATTCTTTTCTTAAGACTTCCATTATCAAAATGATTGAATCTAGCACAGAGATCTGAAAAAGAAAGCAAACCGCATGTGAAGGGGTATCTCAACTAAGGAACAGCCAAAATTCACAAAAAGAAAAGGGGAATAGATCTATCTAGCCTTCCTCCGAGCCCGCCACTCCCTCAACTGTTCCATGAACCTATGAGATCTCATAGCCTTGATAAATGCATAAGCAACAACCCGATAGATGATTGTGCAAACACCCAACGCCATGATATTCATCGGTCCACTCTTATCCAAATTGTAAAGCTTAAGCACCTGCTCACCGGAATCAACAGGACAACTCCCGTTAGCAAGCCTCTGAGCATCAGAGCAATGGAACACCTGACCATGCATTGAATACGACGCCAGATTAGCAATGGCATATTTGATCGGCGAGAGATGGTTCAGCGCCTGCAGCACATTGTTGACATTGAGACTCATGACGCCGCCGAGGATGGTCGAGATGGAGAGCAGGGTAGACGTCACATTGACGGCGAAGCCAACGTGCGAGAACAACGTGCAGAACATTATGCCCACAGACTCGCCGCAGCTGATTATGCAGAAACAGTTGAACGCGCTGATGAGGAACATCGTTACGGTGCGTTGCAGGTTGTCTGCAAAGGCCGCTAATGCGCCGAAGATTAGTGATGAGATTATTTCGAAGGGGATTTCGATTGCGGTGTAGCTGAGGATGAATGTCGATGCTGTGTAGCAATTGTCTGCTTCTTCACGGTAGAAGACATCGCGCTCACTGGGGTAGATTGCGATGTTTTGGAGCATACCTGTTTGGAAGATTAGTATGTTTATATAAAAGAGGACGTCAAACGAAGGGAATTGGGGTAAAATAGAGTAAACTTACCAACAAAGTACAACGCTGCAAACTCCTGAATAAACCCCATACGAGATTGCACAGCTGCATAATCATTCTTCAGCGGCGCAAAGAAAAGCACCATGATAATCGCTATCCCTGGGATCTGCATCGACCGCGCCATAACTAGCGGCGGCTGGCGCCAGAAGTTGACCACGGAGCGGTGCAATACCAGCGGGAACGTCATCCGGAATGGTAGCATCTGACGCTTAAGACTTCCCAGCTCCGCAGGCGTAGCAATCTGTGACGTCTGCCGGTTTAGCCCAAGCTCGAGAGGTGTATCCTTCCAGCAGGAAATGAGACCCTGCACACGCTTGCGTGTGACGAGTTCACGGTCCGCTTGCTGGAGATCGACCGTGATGAGATCCAGGACGAAGTCTGCTGGGTTGGTTGTGCGTGGGCACTCGTGACCCTGCTTGGCGAAGTGCGCGAGCATTTGCGTTCCGGGGCCTGCGTAGACGGGGTAGCCGCCGCGGGCTAGGAGGAGGACTTGAGAGAAGTGGGCGAAGAGGTCTGAGCGGGATTGGTGGAGGGTTAGGATTAGAGTGCGGCCTTCGGCGGCGAGGCTATGAAGGAGCTCGATTATGGACATTGCTGTGAAAGCATCGAGGCCGGAGGTTGGTTCGT